TGTCAGTGTGGATCAAGATGTCTGGGAATAAAAGTAAGTCGTAGGTTAATATAAGTTTGATATTAATGTAAGTATGACTTAAAATGTAAGTCTCGGACGAAAGTAAGTCTGACTTGAAATGTAAGTCTCGGACGAAAGTAGGTATGACTTGAAATGTAAGTCTCGGACGAAAGTATATGACTTGAAATGTAAGTCTCGGACGAAAGTAAGTCTGACTTGAAATGTAAGTCTCGGACGAAAGTAGGTATGACTTGAAATGTAAGTCTCGGACGAAAGTAAGTATGACTTGAAATGTAAGTCTCGGACGAAAGTAAGTCTGACTTGAAATGTAAGTCTCGGACGAATGTAAGTCTGACTTGAAATGTAAGTCTCGGACGAAAGTAAGTCTGACTTGAAATGTAAGTCTCGGACGAAAGTAAGTCTGACTTGAAATGTAAGTCTCGGACGAAAGTAAGTCTGACTTGAAATGTAAGTCTCGGGACGAAAGTAAGTATGACTTGAAATGTAAGCTCGGACGAAAGTAAGTATGACTTGAAATGTAAGTCTCGGACGAAAGTAAGTCTGACTTGAAATGTAAGTCTCGGACGAAAGTAAGTCTGACTTGAAATGTAAGTCTCGGACGAAAGTAAGTCTGACTTGAAATGTAAGTCTCGGACGAAAGTAAGTCTGACTTGAAATGGAAGTCTGATTCTAAATGTAAGTTCTAGACTAAAGTAAGTCTGATTCTAAATATAAGTCTGATATTAAGATAAGTTTGTAACTAAAATTAAGTCTTATTCCAAAAGCAAATTTAATTGTATAATAAGTCTGGATCTAGAGTAAGCCTTAGTCTACAGCTATTCTGTGTCAAAAATAAGTCACGAACCATAGTAAGTTTCGGACTAGAGTATGTCTGTAATTCGAATCATTCATATTCTTCAATTATCCCGCCAAAAAAATTATCGTCTTTTTATCATACCATAGTTTTTATCAATCTCGTTCTACTAAAAAACCTTTATATTGGTGATTTCTTTGTTAAACCCGTATTTTTTCATGTGAATCTTATTGTATAAACTCTAAAAGTTCAATTTCCGGTCGAAAAAAACTTGAAAACAATTTGTATTCGACGAGTTAAAGAGCTCTATTTATTCTAAATTTTCCAAAAAAAATTAGATTTCGTTTTTTCGCTTCAAAAAATGTTGTTTTAAGTTTTAAAATTTGTAATTCAAAATTTTTTTGGAAAGATTTACGATTTTTTAATACTGCGAATGAGTTTTATTTTACATACTCTATTGATAAATCATATTTTTGTCGAGATATAACTTTTTTTAAAAAAATTATATGCAAAGAGTGTTATAGAATTCTAGAAGGTATAGTGCATAATTTGAAGTATACTATCAAATAAAGAAATTTTACAGTTTTTTAGTTTTATTTAGATGTACGTTATTTTAGATGGCTTCGTCGAAAACAAAGCATGTCTGTTAAGTTTATTCTTAACATGGTAAATAAAATGGCAACGAAGCCCAGTGTACTGCGTCTTATGCCGTAGTTTTTGTTATCTTCATACTCAAATACAACAAATAAAATAGATTTATTACGAAAAAACGTATAAAACAAATGATATATTTATTTCTAGACAAGTTGACGAACATGTAGCGCAACTGTATCGCTTTAGAGAACAGTTCTTCCAACACCTACTCATTCAGTGAAAGATTTAAGAAGAACTCTTACTCGACCTTAACTACCTACGCTTTGCTTGAACAATTCCCAACGAGGTTACTATAAGGTTGCAAGTCTTGTCAAAATGTAGTATGCAATACGTTGGGGAAAAATAGATATATACGAACAAACTACTACAGTCTAGCAACTAGTCTTTAAGTGTAATGTATTTTTGCTACAAAGAGCTCATAACGAAGTCAAATTTTGCAATTTGATGTCAAAACTAGCTAGTTGTTGAATCAAATAGCGTTGTGACTTTGTATACATCACGATCTTGTGGTATCAGAGCTGTACTGCTGCAGACTAATTCAACTAAACATGAGCAAGATTGGGATTTCTATTCTCTGGGGTGCGAGGCTCGTCCAAAGTTCAAGCAGCTACAGTGTTTTGGATCACCTAAAGAACTTTGGGAATTCAGTTATTACGTAAATTTCTCAAGATGAACTTGAGAGCAGCGCAGTTATAACGAAAGTCTCTGATGAAAGGCAATGATTTCTTTCATGAATGATCTAACGTTAGCTTGAAATCAGGAAAAGAGACTATTGATGACTTACTTTCCATCGATGGTGCACAACAGCAGGGAGGGGATTGGTGGGTTTGGGGAAATTCGCTGAGGCACTAGTGTCCGGATTGTTCGTCAAATAGGTTTCCTTTCCTATAAAGAAATGACACTTTTTTGGCGGCTTATTGACTCAGAAAAATTTGAGAGTTAACGAATAATTTTGGCGCCAAAAATAATTTCTCTTAATTTATTAAATTTAATATACGCACATCCATAAGTTATGCTATTTTTTCTATTTATTTTGTTCTAAAATTCTAAATATTTTTTTTTCATAACATAAAATATGATGTCTAGTCTCATTTACATAACAACATGCCTTAGAATAGGTTTTTTATTCTTTTTGTCACTTTAAATTAAGAATAAAAAGATAATTTAAATTGAATATTTGCGATTATTCTCACTAATGCTGCTTCCTCTTTTATTAGGTAGACAACAAAAAGTTAGCCTTGGACTCCCATATCAGATTTTTGATTGGTTGCGTATATAATGAGCTGGGATTGATAGACGAAAACCCAGTGAGAAAATTTTTGACGCCTATCGAAAATTATATTTATTTAAGGGTTTCGTTTTGCGAAAAAAACGTACAATACGCAATTTCGCTAAAAAAACATTTAGCTAGCAATTTCGACCTTTGACTCCACTCAAGACGTCACTTTTTTAATTTTGCGGTATCATATTTTTGGAAAATCTTTATGAATATTATATAAAAAGTCTCTTTAATATCTATATTTCATATTTTTATCGATTTTTAAAGTTTTTGCGAAAAGTATTCAATTATTTTTGCTATTTGGTCGGGTAAATGTCAGATTTGCGACATTTTCTGATATGATATTCAGATTCTACGTTGATAATAATGCTTATAGAACCCTCTTGCTATTGTGTCAAAATTGCGAAACCGATAGCAAAAATATCTCGCAATATCAAAATTGAGATATTGAGTGAATTATGCATTATAGAGATTAAAAATCTGATTTGTGAAAACATCTCATCAGTTTCTAGCTAATTCAAAAATCTTTACTATCTTATTCGATTAAAATGAAAAGGGAATAGTTTCATTATGCTTTAAATGACAGCCTTATAATATAATCATAGTTTTCGCTCAATATGCAGCATTTTTTTTTCGAAATCTATGGTCAATGTCCTAAATACTGATTGCTTTGCATTCATATCTCTTACATTTTCTATACCCACATCACTATTCATTGCTATTCCTATCTTTTTCATTTTTGTTTGTTTCTCATAATTTCTCAAAAAACACGATAACTTGATATTTGTAAATATCATACTTTATAACGTAAATAAGAACTTGACCTATTAAGAAAAGCAGTAATGAAAAGAAAATCTGAAATTCATAAAAATTACAAGTTTCTGATGACAATTAGCTTAATTAAACCAGGTACAAGATTATATAATTGTATTTTCTATCCAATTATCCATATAATATCTTATCCAGAAAAAAAAACTTGATCAATACCAAATGATTTTTTAACTAGTAAATAAAGTATTTTTTTACACACACATTGTATATCATAGTTTTTTTTTTTGGTTTCGCAAAACATCCAAAAACAAATATGCTATAAAAGTGACAATTTTAGCAAAACGAAACCCTTAATTTATTTATAATTTTGGTCTATAAAAATAAGCGGATTCAAAACTGGCAAAAACCCTTTCGGCAATTTGTGGACGATTCCGAACCCCCTCATTTTTGAAATTTAATAAGAAAAATAGAATCTTTATTAAATATAGATTTTTAAAAACTTGGTTATAAATTACGAAATTTTCTCACTTGGGCTAAAAAGTGATAATTTGGTCGGAAGCCACCCTTAATTTCACACTTATTTTTAATCACTAGCCCTCTATGACACTATTTTCTCAAAATTCCTACTATATACTCCTGAATCAATCGTGAATTACCTTTGAATTATCTCAATTGAAACTCAAATGAATTTCCTTTTAGAAATCCTGAGTAGAGGTTCACAAATTCAAATGTTATATTATGTTGAGATAATTGAAGAATGTTTTTCGATGAATTAATCAGATTCCCTTTAATCATTTTGTAAATCGAGTTTAATTTGCCTTCATTTTTCGTTTGTAACCGATAAAATGCAAAATTTGAAACGACAATGCATTGGTGGATGTTTCTCAAATTACTACATTTCTTTGTATTAGTGTCTAGAACAGACAATTTTTTTTTGGAAAAATTTTCCAATGATTTATCCACAATTTACGCATATACCGAATGCATTGAGAATCGCGGTTTAATTTATTCGTAGAATCTGGTATTTAGTGCTGTTGAAACTGACGATTCATTAATTATCGCATTTATTGGAAACGTAATGAGTGGGAAATCAAGCATGAGATCTATATACGCTTTCATGATTCTAATAGCAAAGTCAGAAATAAAAAAAAAGGATAATTATATAGTTTTATCAAATCATTCTGAATACAACTAGCTACCAACCTCACAAAATCCTTCTCACATTAAATGATTGCCGAATTTTAGAAATTTCTCCATAAATCTATGATTCAAAGAAATGGTACTTTTTCATGATTGGTGGAGAATGGATTTATGATAGTTTCGCTACGCATAAAAGGAAACATTCCTCATAATATATATCTATTTTGGTGATATAATAATATGGATCTGCAACTGTGAGCGATCGATTGAGAATTTCAGTTCGAAAAGTGATGTTCAGATTTTGTAAAGATTACGATGAAATTTTTTTAGTCAATATTTCAGATGTTCTTTTTGTTTAGTGCCTTAATACATTCACAAAAGGTTCTCATATTCGATGCGGGCAGTAGTTCCACTCGTGTTTACTTATATAAATACGAAAATGCATCCGACCCATTAACTTATGAAGCGATGGTTGATGAAAATGGAAATCCATTCAGTTTCAAAGGAGATGAAGCCTCAACAAAGCTCTCCGATGTTGCCAAAAACGAATCTGTCATGGATGAAATCTACAGACAGCTCTTAACAGAACATGCAAATAAATGGATCGATGAAAAGGAGCAGAGCAGTGTCCCACTTATTGTTTATGCTACAGCTGGTATGCGTCTTCTCCCTCTCGAAGACCAGAAGAGAGTTATGAAGATTGCTTACAAGAAAGCAAAACAAAATTTCAAATATAAAGTCCAGGAAAAGCATTTCAGAGTAATTCCAGGCTACGAAGAAGGTCTGTTTGCCTGGGTCGCTGTGAACCGTCTACGCCGCGCTTTCACTCCAGAAACGAAAACATTACCGATTTTCGAATTCGGAGGTGCTTCAGCTCAGATAGCGGCAGAAATCACTGAAAAGCCAAAGTCTTACCTCAAGAAATTCCTCTACCAAGTTAGAATCGGAAAGGATAACTACAACGTTTTCGCTCACTCATGGCTTGGCTATGGTGGCGATATCAGCTCCGTAACCGTCCACAAAGAAGTTATGAAGACCACCCACGAATCTCCATGCGTTATTAAGGGTGCAAATCTTACACTTAAAATTGATGGTAAAAATGAAACATTTACAGGCAAGGCAGACTTCCAGAAATGCTACCAACTCTACGAAACTCTTGTTTTCAAGAAGGATGAAGAGAAGAACTGCGGCGGATACCCAGTTCTTTTCAAAGATGAAAATGAAAACGTTTGCGTTCCTCTTCCAGCAAAATTTGACCGTATCTATGCACAAGGTGTCATGCAATACTCAGCCGATTATCTTAAACTCAACGATACCCTCAAACTTAACGATTTCATTCAGAAATCTTACGTTTACGGCAACTACACCTACCAACAAGCTTACGACTACAATCCAAAATACATGTACATTCACATGGCCTACTTACAGCAACATCTCCTTATCAATTTCTTAGATCGTGGATTCCAACACGATAAACTCATTGATGAGCTCGTAATCAGCGCCCCAATCAAGATCAATAATGTAGAACCACAATGGACACTCGGCGCTGTCCTTGAAGCCTTCTCTGCAGCTTCTGTCGGAATGGCTTGGTATATTATTTTAATTATCGTCATCGCTGTCGTTGCCATTGTTGTCATTTGTGTATTTGTCGTATACAAACTCGCTTGCAAGAAACAGGCTTCTTTCCAGAACGTCAAATCCATTGATAATGGTCAATTACTAATGTAATTACTAATTGGAACTTACTAAAGTTTGATATTGCATTCTACAATGATAGTTTTGATATAATTAAACATGATTTTTTCATATCTATATTTTTATTTAAAAAAAAGAACCGAATTCTTTTAAAAAATAACTTAATCTCTTATGCAATAAGTAGTTCCATCCAAATCATTACAGTGAAGTTTTGTTTCATTATCCATGATTTTATCCAAGAAATATACAATGAAAATAATATTATCCATGTAAAACAGGATCTATTCTCTCCCGTAGGTCATTGTAGGTAGTGTTATGAATAATTACTGTGCTCATTTGCTTGTCGCAATGATTCTGTTCTATTGATTTGAGAGATTTACAAAATTTTTGTACGTTTATTTTTTTGTCCAAAATGCAATTTGAAACATACTTTAAAGCTACAGAAGAAGCATTTGCTCAAGAAAAGGAAGCGGCTTTAGATAAAATTCTTGGATTAAAGAAATGCTGGCAAGAAGTTCAGGAATTAGACAATAAAGTCATCGAAAAATGCAATCGAATGAGTGAAGTTAAGCGATTAGTGAATAAAAGTCACATGCAAATATTGAGAACGAAGGAAGAATGTCTCCAAATGCAGTTGAAAAATGCTCAATTGCGTTTCCATGTTAGACAATTACAAAACGAAATTTTTAGACTTTTACCTTTTTCACATACACAAGTTCCAAGTACAGAATATATAATGTCTCTTGATAGAGATGTTTTTAAAGCCCAACAGCATTCAACAAAATCAGAAGCTGATGAAGAGCACATGGTTGAGATAAAGAAACTGCACAAAATGTGGTCTGATCTTGTTGCTCTTCAGAAACGAGTATTTACTGAAGAAAAAAATCAATACGAAGAAGATGCAGCACAATGGAAAAAATTTTCAACAGCTGTAGAAAACCAATCAAAAGCTACGCATAAAATTATTGACACTTATCTTAACCAGATCACAATGGGTTATGGAAGTTTGAAGCGTCAAGATGACGAAGACCAAGAAAAGCAAAAAAATTTTATTCAAGAACTCGAAAAGAAAATTAATAAGCTTTCAACAAAATCAAAGACACTTACTGTATCCCTTGAGGCAAAGAAAGAAGCTGATAAAAAGAAAACCACACGTATTTCAAATAAGATTACAAGAGAACTTCAAAGAAGAATTCAATCTTTGCAAAACAAAAATGGTGATATTATTGAAGATATGCAAGATGAAAATGATGATCTTTATGAAAAAGAAGACATCCTTTTGGATGATCTTGATGAAATAAATGAGAAGATTAAAAAGTATCAATCTGAAATAGAAGGTTTAACAGCTGAAGGTGAAGAACGTCTCGAAAATCTTGAAGCCCAGTTAAATGCTTTAATTAGTGCTGCATCGGGTATCAATATAGTACCAAAAGATCAGCATGTTGCAATTGTTGGTGCTGTTGCTGCAGCTGTGAGCATGCATGGTTGTTCAGCTACCAAAGCCGAGAGGACCAATACTCAATTAGAAAACTTGCGATATAGGTACGGATTACAAACTCCTGTTTATGATTAATATTATTCTTTCTTTGTATGAATTTTTGTTGTTTATTAGTTAAAATACATTCTTGTTTATTATGATATAATTTATTTTTTTCTTATACATGTATATTATGTGAAACTCATATCACTTTTCAGTGGTTAATAGAAGTGTGTTGTCCGAAGAGTCGTAAAAGTAATTTAATTTTGTAAACAAAAAAAAAAGATTTTTATAAATATTCCGATGTGGAAAATAGAAATAAATGTTGGGCGCGATTAGATTAAGTTAATATCATCATCAGCGCGACGTTTCATAGTGTATTGAGGTCCACTGAGTGTTGAACCCAATTCCTTATAGCCAACACCTGGTTCTGGATCCTTAGACTTAGGTCTAATATGGAAGATTGGCTTTGGAGCTGAAGCAAGTACAGATTCAAATCTTGGAGCGTAAGCGCCAGGACCTGGAGATACTGACTCGGCGTACTTGAAGTCGTGTGTACCTTTCATCTTAATTCCTTTCGCTCCTGTAGCATCGAATGAATGATCTCTGAGAGAATAAGCAGCAGGACCTGGGCCTGGAGTTATTGCGTGATCGAGGGATGTTTGTGATTTTGTTTTCATACCATTGAAAGTGCCGAATGAATGATGCCTGCTTCCTGCTCCGAAAGAAGGCGGAATATATGATGGACCTGGGGTTTGGAATTTGTTTGTTAAAAGCTGTGTGCGTGCTCCGAGTGTTATCTTCGGAACATTGCCGATAGTTGATGGGAGTTTTAACATACGTGTATCGTCATAAAGAACTTTATCTGAAGGACGACCTTTTAATTTGATTGTTGTTGTATCTAAACGACTTTCAATGTTATATGCAGCGGGTCCGGGTGTGCCGCCTTGGCGTTTTGAAACGTGAGCTATCAGCGGATCCCTATTAAATCCTTTCATCCCGTCTACAGAAAAAACGTATTCCTTCTGAATTTGTGATCGGTAACGCGGCAAAAAAAATCTGAAGAAAATTTTTCATGATTTCACAGTCTATTTTTAATTAACATATCATTAGTAATCTATATATGATGAAAAATCGGATTTTGCTTTCCTCAAAATTTTTCATACATCAACGCATACTAATGCGAGAAATCAATTATATAATAGCTCTTTATTACAAATATTTTATATTTACATACAACAATTAAGAAATAAATAATCTTATTCTGGGTAAACCAGGTTTATAAGATTTTCGGCTGCTTGGCTAACAGAGTCACTATCAGAATCGATTAATTTCTGAACTTCTTCGTGGAATGACTCATTCGATGAGACAGATTCTGAAAATTTCGGATTATTTGAACAGTATTCACCAATTGCAATGAGCATGTTCGTCAGTGTATCATCTGAATATCCCTCTAATTTAGATACAACTAGATCAGTGAATGAGCGTTGCACTAAAATTTCTGCAAGTTCAGGATCGTAAAGGTTTTTCATCAATGTAAAGAGAGGGTTAATCGATCTGTTATGTATTTTAAATGAATATCCATAGAAATTAATAATAAGAGCATCCAAAACAAAATATTTTTTCATTAATTCATATCTTTCTAAAAGTAAGTATTCTATGATCTTATATAGATGTTTGGAGCCAGAATACTCAAGGCAGATACTGTTTAAATTCGTTGCAAGATAATCAAAAAAGGATTCAGGTAAATAACTTAAATCTATAGCAAATACAATAGTTTTCCACATTGAATCTGCATATTTAAGTATATCTTTTGTATTTTTACCTAAATAATGTAACTTCGAACTCATTTCAACTAATCTTGGAATTAAAATTGGCAAATCGAAGTTTGAAATCATTTCTTGGGATCTAAAACCTTGCTTGTAGACTAAACATATTGTTGAGTAAAAGCATGGCTCGAAAATTGGTGTTTCAGGCAACGGTTGATTTTTTTGTTCACAATCTAAAATTTCGTAGTAAGATATTGGTAAATGTTCTGTAATGAATGCAAATATATGAATAAAAGCAATCAAATTTTCATCATCAACATATGAAAACAAAATTTGTAATAAATCTAAAAGACTGTCTATATATTGTGGTTCGTATTTATTTGTTGATAGTTTTTCGAACGGCATGCTCTCTAATAACTCTAATGCAATACGTTCAAAGTGATTTTCTTCAAATAAAGGAACAATTATCTGCCCAACCTCATTCAATTCAAGAACATTGATGAGTATTTCGAGTATTAAAAACTTTGCATGTATTTCTCTGGTTCTAAGGAGTTCAAATATTTTTGGAACATTTTCTTCATTAAAAAAGTCGATAATTTGTGTAGAATCTGCATGAGAGATAATATTTCTAAGCATTTCAAAGTAGATGATCGTAGCTCTGTTGCCAAATTCGTAGTTTAATGCGACAGCAAAAGTTTCCAGTACAGAATTTTCTAAAAGTACTTCTACGGGTACGTGTCCAAAGACGTAAAACTTAATATTTTCGAGTAATGCTGATGCATCTATTCCTTTTTTAATATCAAGAGTGATTGCAGCGAGATTCTTTAGCGCAGTTTGATATCTATCTGCATTACCATCATATTTATTTCCATTTAATTGCTTTTCAATTGGCTGGTCTTGAGCTTGTTCACCAAGCTTATAATTATCCATTTTGAGCACAAAATAAATAATGAATAAAATAAAACACTAAGCCCATGGCTCATATTTACATAAATTTTTAGTCATGTTTATTATAAATTTTCAAAATTTGTCTTTCAATCCAACAGCACTCTGAAGGATAATATTATATGTAACAATAGATATGATAAGATATAGTCTATGCATGAGATTACAATTGCATATTTAATGAAATTGCGATTTGTTATGGAACAAATGTCTCAGGGAATTGGAACTCTCTACATTACTTCTGAAAGAAAGAAAATAGAAGCGAAAAAACTTCTCTCATTTCTTTTCTAATGTCAGAAATGTATAGAATGCTGTATATTGTTAATTAGTGTATCACTATTATCGTTGAAAATAGAAACCATTGGTGATTTAAGGATGCACTTATGCCCATCTGACTTTAATTCAAATTTTTGACAGCGATCATGAATCAGAATTGAATATTAACATTAAATCCAAATTAATTATTAAAAATAACCAGAAGTTTGCTGATAAGATATATTTGCAGCTTCAATGTAATTATAATATACTTTGCAGGTATTCATTATGTAATGTTCTGAAGCTATGATGATTCAAATATAAAAATTTGGCGGTAGAGAATATATTTGATTATTATTTAAAAAGAAAGTATATATTATTGAGTGAGATTTTATTCAAGAACAAGCCGAAGCTATCAATGCAAATATGGAAACAAATTTGATAGGTTTTTTAATGTAAGGAATATAAAAATCATCTTCCTTTTCTTCTTCATTTAGGTCTTCTGTTGGAATAGAATTCTTGAAAAGAGGACAACTTGAAATATTTGTGTTCTTAAAAATTGGACTTGTTCTTGTTGAAACTGTGCTATCTGTTGTTGAATTTTCGAAAGTCATTGTTGCTGAACTTACTTCAAATATGTAAGTAATTTCATTCTCAAGGATACAACAATAACTCATGATAAGATCAGTATTAGTATAAATCAAACTACCACCCGATTTAGAATCTTTATTTCTTATATAATTACATGAAGAAACTTTAAACTTTGAGGTTGATGATGAATATTTACTGTGGTAATTAAACCAACCAGATGATTGATTGTTCTCGATAACATTTACACAAGTGATGAATGAATCAGAGGTAATATATTGTGTGGTATAACCTCCACTAGAACCTTTGACTCTATTTTGTGTAATGTTGCATTGATTCATGATGCAGAATCCATAGCACGTGAAAAATGGAATTCTGCAGTTTTGTTCTGAACTGCCGCAGTCGTAAACAATGGTTTCATTTGCATGATTTTTGTAATCTGCCTTTGGTGAAACGTTTATATTAACTGCAAGTCCATCTCCTGTAGTTATTGATTTCGTATATGTATTCTTTGCTTGAACAATCTGTCCTTTGTAGAAAAAGTAGAGGGATCCTCCACCTTGTGCTCCAGACGAACACGATTCGAAGCTATTTGTTGTTGCATATGTTTTAACATCATCATTTCCTGATGAAATTCGAACTGCACCATTTGGACTTAATTCATGAAAAATACAACTTGAAACAAAGTATTTTAAATTGTCACTTCTCGAGAACTCGGTTCCATCATTAAGATGAGCTTCATCATATCTCGATCCTGGGAATACATCATCCCAGGATATTGAGAAATGATCAAGTCATTTGAAAAATAATCGTAAAAAAAAATCAGAAGATTTTGAATCGATTTCTATTGCTTGATGGTTGTTTAATATCTCAACCACATGGCTAATGTCAATTGTTATATGGTCGATGAAATTTCTAGCTGTTTAAAAGCTTAGGTTTTTAAAATTTCTTCAAATTTAGACTCATCGAAGAAACTTGACAAATGAATCAAAATAAGCTTAATTACAGAAGATTTGTATTGCAGTTTCATGAGGAAATTTATGAATCCTTATGAAATTTGAGAGAAATTTATAAATCTGTTTCCAAAGAGAGCTTATTAATAGTATTAAAATAAATATAAGATGTACACACCTATTATAAGCTGTGTTTGGATGAACATTCCCAAAAGATAAAAATTTGATATAAAAATTCAGAATCTGTATGTTATATTGGATAATTTTGAAAGAAAGTTTGTATGTATCTAGTTTGCATATTCTCACGGCTTAATTGTGTCTTTGTTAAAATCAAAATTTTCAAAATTTCATGATTTTAATGATTTTATGAATTGCAAACAATAAAAATACGTAAATATGCTTAGTATTGAGTCTAAATTGTATTATTTCATAGTAAGATTAAATTAATAAACAACATTTGGATTGTTTTGGTACTTCCTTTTGATATTCAACTGCTGCTTCCCTGCTTGTATTGACAGCGCTAAATTTGTGAGAATCATCTAAGGAACTCAACAAAGATTCAAAAACTTCGTTGACATTTAAATTTCTTAGTATTGATCCTGAGAAAACATTCATACGATCGTAAGTTTTGAGTAGATATCTTTCAATTTTCTCGTAATCAGGACAACGATCAATTTTGTTGCCAAAAAATACAATGTGTTTATCACCACAGAACGATATGTACTTACCAAGGCTGTCAATTGTTGCTGGATTTGTATAGTCGAAGATAATAATGTATCCAGTGATTTTATTCATAAGTTCGTTGTTATTAAGGATGCTTTCGAGTGTGTCTATTTCTATAATTTTCATGTTAAAGGTTTTTGTGTTCGGTTCTACTGTTACTTCGGCCATTGATATTCCAACTGATGGATTGTAAGATTCGTCACATCTTTCGTTAATATACATGTTTAATAGTTGCGTTTTTCCAACTTCGTGATCTCCAACAACAGCTATATAAACAGTTTGCGCCATGGATTCAAAAAATTTTTAAAAAACGTGTAACGTGCTGTATACATGGGTCGTCTTTTTTTTCTCAAGAGACTACACCATATGTATATATATAAGGAGAATCCTTGTTTGTACATATCATCTTGAATTCTTTTTGTATGTTTTTTAAAAATCAACCATATTTCATTAGAGAAAATGCTCATTTGGAAAGTTTCGATAGTAAATATGGCATATGTTGCAATAGATATGAATAGATGCTATCATAAATCTCATGTTTCCCTAGATAAATATTTGCAATCCTAATTTGGAAGAATGCAATTAGAATAAGGGATAAATATAAAAGTATCTATTCATTATTTATAATATCTCTTGATGTGCGCATTAATGAACATTAATTTTTAAATAAAATGTCATGAATCCTTTAAACACTTTGATAAATTCTTAGTTTCATGATATTCCATGAAATCTGTGAATAGTCCATAATATTCTAATGATTAGAGAAATTCATTCAAATTAATCATAAATATGCATATTTGAATGTATCAATCAATTACACTCCGATTATTATTTACATCCATTAGCTATTGAATGTTTGTTAGAATAAATGTGTTTGAATTTGGAGAAATTAGACATGCAATGGCTTAAATATTAAGAGATTCGTTATATATGAATTATCTAAATTGAATTTATTTGATGCATATTATTCATATTGAAAGTAATGGTGAGTGAGATTTCATTTGAAGGACAGACAGTAAAATAAACTAAAAAGGAAATGAAAAATAAAATTTGTATGAATAGTATTGATATGTATTACAAATAAATTGAAATAAACTTTAAAATTATCGAAATCATCATTGATTTCATTAAATTTGAAAATGGTCACGAGGAATTTATAATCTATATTCGAACAAAAACATAAGAATCGAAGAAATCTAATAATATCAAGAATTCGAAATTGAGCAATTTGTAATTGAATTTTGAATAGAGTATTTTCGAGAAAAAAAGGAAATTCAAATATTATTGATAATATATGGGATGCTAAAAACTGCTATCATCTCAAAAGTGTATTGAGATTTCTGAAGATCGTAAAATATTTATCCTTTCAATTTATTTTTTAGCGGTTTGAGTGTTTTTCAATATCATTTGGAATCGAAATATAAATATAAAAAGGAATATAATTTAGGAAAATCAAAATTGTGAGCCATCCATCTCACCAGAAATGGATACCGATAGTAAAACAAATTTTCAAAATCATCAAAATTTATTATTTTGAGTATTTTGCTTCCTTATATGATAAGTAATTATATCTATCCAATCCATATCAAACACATGGATAACACATTCAAAATTCATGACGCTAGGATAAAAATTGAATACCTAAGCGTTATTCGTCTTATCAAAAATTGTGAACTAGCGAAATATCGGTTCTCAAATTTTGTGAGCTATCTACATAGGGTTAATAACATCATTTTTCAAGATGAATTACTTCTATTACCAACCAGTTCAAATGGTCCCAATGATTCAACCCCAGTACACTGCTCCAACAACCACAGATAACTTTAGAACTTCTATCATTTACTTTGTTGAAACACTTGATAGAGAACCAAAGCAGAATTACACAATTACTCAGTTATGCACCCGCTTTGGATTTCAGAGAAGACGTTTTTATGATGTAGTTAATGTTCTTGAATCAGCTGGTTGCTGCCAAAAAACAAATGTTGATTGTTTTGTATGGCTTGGCTTGAATAATGTCAAGAATCATCTTCAATCACTCAGCAACTAAGTTAATCAGATCAATGCAGATGCAGATCTCAATGATATTTTTCAAACTGGAGATTCTGTTACAATTTCCAATCTTACAACTCAATTCCTTCTTTCATTCCTTGCATTCAATCGTAATGCCTTAGATATCAAGCAAATCAGCGCTTTCTTATCCAGAAATAATAACCGCTTCAAAACTACTCTTTGCAAGCTTTACCAGATCTCTCATATTCTTGAGGTTGTAGGAATCATCTCAAAGACCATGATTCCAGGTGAAGTTCATCTTAATGAACAATACTTCCCAGACATCAAGATTAACAAGGCAAAGACCTCTTTAGACATCGAATCCTTACTTAGTAGACCTGTTGAAAATCTTTGAAGCAGTTTATTCTCAGATAGATGGAATGTTTTCAACAAATTCCACGAAATGGCACTTCCAAGAACACCAATTATGTTCTTCCCAACACCAATATCTGCATAATTTGTTTAATTTTGTTTGTAAATAGAGTTTATATGTATTAATTCCTTAAATTATTTGTCGATAATTTTTATTTTGATGAAATGCTATCATTATTCATAAATTTCTGAAAAAATCTGTCGAATTCTGGATGTTCCTCATGTATATTATTACCGAGATTTTCCAAAAAAAATTCGAAAATAATAAATTTACAAGAAAAATTGGTAAAATTCTTATTAAAATTGAATTTTTGAAAAAAATTTGGAATTTTCTCGGAAAATATTCTCTACGAACATTCATAAAAATTCAACCTTATCAATATTTCTCAAACAAATAATTTCTAATTTCATTATTTTTCACAATTATGATCTTTAAATCAATGAATACTCATTAATTCTGCTTAACCACCATCATAAAAGCCCTCAACATTGTATATAAATTAAATATGCCTTGGTCACAACAATTAAATAGCAAAGTGATGGAAAATATATTCGCTTCTATAGATGTTTGTATCTAATGACCAAATTCATAAAATAGATTTACTAATTTATGAAATAATTATAGGCTATTGATCGGATTTGAATATCTTATTCATTTTTACGATTTTGATACAAAACATTTATCACAGTTTAAAGACAGAACCCTTTCAGATGTATCTTCATTCATATAAAGAACAATGTTTGGTAATCATAAAATGAAAAGATCGTGTTTCATATTACCGCAAAAGATTTTTTATGAAAATGTTATATCTATAAAATCATTTAACAATTCTTACCATATTTCCTCATAACGTTAACTCCAGGAACCATCAAATAATCATTCGATGAAGTATTTGAAAGTTTTGTGTTTGAATTTTGTGACTCAATAAATCAATTTATTTTTTTAGTGGAATAAACTGTAATAAACAGAAATTCATCAAAAGTGACAGCTCTCAATTTTTTGACATTTGTAAATTCTAAATTGAATGAGAAAAATGAAATAATACTAAGCATAATACAATATTCTAGATTTAATTATAATTAGGAAAGGGTTAGTTTTGAGAGTACTTTTCATAGGCATATAGAATGAAATCTTCTGAAAAATAATATCACATAAACTCATATTATTTTCTAATATATAACTATTTTATATAAAAATCAAATTCAATGATCTTAAAAGCGAAGGATAAACCTCAAAATTTACGAATATAATGAGTGGAATATAATGCTTATCTATCATAAAACCATATGAAATATCAATTTTTTGCTTTACGCCTAATTTTGACGACAATTAGCAAAAAATGTTAAATGTTAACACTCAGTCCATTTGAATATGAAAATAAAATTGACTTTGATTAAATGTTTTATTTATCATGCAATTCTTCTTGCGACCAAGATTTGAATAAAAGTTCAAAAAATAAGATAGCTTAAAAAATAATATACGGTAGTGTTTACTAATAGATGAATAGTATATAAATTCTATTAAAATGGATTGATCCAAAAAAATATATAAAATTTGATCATAAATAAAATCGTTTTAAATTACTTCTTCATTTAAATTATAACAATTATTTTTGTTTTATATTTTTTGGATCAAATCCATTTTAATAGAATTTATATACTATTCATCTATTAGTAAACACTACCGTATATTATTTTTTAAGCTATCTTATTTTTGAACTTTTATTCAACTCTTTGGTCGCAAGAAGAATTGCATGATAAATAAAAACATTTAATCAAAGTCAATTTTATTTTCATATTCAAATGGACTGAGTGTTAACATTTAACATTTTTTGCTAATTGTCGTCAAAAATTAGGCGTAAAGCAAAAATTGATATTTCATATGGTTTTATGATAGATAAGCATTATATTCCCACTCATTATATTCGTAAATTTTGAGGTTTATCCTTCGCTTTTAAGATCATTGAATTTGATTTTTATATAAAATAGTTATATATTAGAAAATAATATGAGTTTATGTGATATTATTTTTCAGAAGATTTTGTGTTCTTCTTCAAAATTTTACTTTTTTATTAAAAAGAATCTTTACAAAATATACATTTACTTTAATTAATATTTAAAAACGTTCTCTATCAAAAGTTCCAAAAATTCAATATTTTAGCTTTTCTGAGGTGTCACTTTTGATGAATTTCTGTTTACAACAAAACATATCTCTTTCTCATATCACTGTTTCTTATTATTGTGAATGATTATAATATTCAAGGGGATGTTTATGACATATTCAAAGTTTCAAGTCAAAAAATATCAATATAGAGACAATCAAGAATAAATATTTATCAGTTTTTTTCTTTTCAAGTGTCATAACTTTCCAGATCATGGTTCGATCCGATTTTTTATTAAAATATATCAGCACCATACCCATCAATTCCAATTCTGCAAAAATAATCTAATAAAATTTTCATAAATTCAAATCACAAACTTGTGTAAACTGTATCGTCCACTGAATTCCTGAATAAAAAGTCAATGAAAACTATATTTTTGCACAACCAATATTTATCACAATATCTCCACACAAATTATTGTATGGCTGAATTCAATCAGAATTCAATGTGGCCACCATCTGATACGTGTGCCACGCATTCTCAGGATTTACTAGGAAATAGAGGCTTTGGAAGTCTCGACCTACCACGTCCGAATCTTGATGACCAGTTTGATAACGATAATTTCGATCCTATACCTAGAGATGCATATTTAATGCCATTTTCACAGAAAAATAATAAACTGGTGACAAAAATCTCACCTGCTGAGTTCGTAAAGATACTTTCTGCTTCTTGCCCGATGAACTACGACAGAGTCATCATCTGTGATTGCAGATATCCCCACGAGTTCAAAGGGGGCCATATACTAGGAGCTTTTAATATTATCAGATATAAGCAACTTTTTGATTTGTATACTAAATTCAAAGATCAAAATGTATGTGTAATATTCCATTGCGAGTTTTCTCAGAACCGAGGCCCCACTTGGGCGCAGATTTTCAGAAAACTCGACAGAGACGAGAACATGTCTCGCTACCCGAATCTTTCTTTTCCCGATGTTTTCGTACTTGAAGGCGGATACAAAAAATTTTACAAGGAATATCCTCAGTATTGTATCGGTGGATATACGCCCATGGATGATGACGGTGTACCTGATAAATCAATCCTGAAAAGAGCCAAGTCTGCATATGAGTTTGAAACTCGTGCTCATCTTGGCCTTAGAACACCGCCATGCCCGAAGAGAGCTAATTCGACAATACAGTTCGATACCGTTAAGCTCAGTCACTTGCTTTTCTTTAATAGTCAGCCATCCAAATGAATTTGAATCACGTTTGTTCGTGACATTTTCATGAAGGAGATACACTGAAAAATATGTCTTATAAATGTAAATATCATTTTACTAAAAGTTGGTTACTTTTCTAAATACCTTTTTTTTACAATAGCTATTGAGCAATTTTAAATCGAAGGTATTTCAGTGACCAATTTCAACTCCAATATGCTGAAATGGTGTAGATTTCATTAATAATGCATTCGTAAGCCAATATTAAGAAGAAAACATAGATCTAATCGCCAAGCCAAATATATGATCGAAATGAGTGAATTCGCGTACAAGTAAGTTTTAATTCAAATTGTGTACATATCTACTGAAAAATGACTTGCTTTGAAACAGAAATTATGATGAATGAAATAAAATATTCGGAAGTTGAATAATTCGTAATCATTGCAATAACGCAATGCCTAGGGATCTTATTTTTGGATTGATCTATAGGCGTTCACTCTTTATTGCTTCGGTAACAATTGCAAATCACAAATATCAAAACATATATATGAAAATTTTTCTTCTTGTGCAATAACAAAAACATTGGCATTAGGAAAAAAAGTCAATTAGATAATTTTAAGTTTTTAATAGTAACAAAAATAGTATATTTATTTACCAAGATAATGCTTCCTCAGCTTTATTTTGACGAATTCAAATCTTTTAAGGTCATTTTCTGATTCAAGTTGGTAATTATAGGATAAAAGAACGGGTTGCTTTAAAATTTGTGTCAAAAATACTGCTAACTCATCAGAAGGAGTGTCTCCAATCAAGTGTGTAACCGAATTTGATGGCATTGAAAATGAAAGATCTGAAAAATTTTTAGCATTTGGGCCAATGAAGATATAAATAGAATTTCCGAACGTAATTGTTTGGACATATATCTTTTCATCTACAAAATCCAGGAGAAAATCAGTGCTTTGCATTAAAACAAATGATCAAAAAGTGACAAATTTTGTATATTTTAGCAATTTTCTATGAGTGTTTGGGTTCAGTGTATTGAAGCAAGAGGTGTACCATGTCCAGATCCTGATGATATTATTGATCCATATGTATTATTTAGAATTTCAAGTTCTCCTGCAACTCAACGCACTAATGTCATTGATAATGAAACAAATCCCGAATGGAATCAAGAATTGACATTTCCATTAGCAAATCTTGCAACAGATGTGATTTTTGTTAATATTTATGATAGAAATGTTTTTGGACAAGATAAAGATCTTGCAAGTCTGGAAGTTCACATATCCAACCTTGACACAAATGAAGTAACTGATAAGTGGTTTGACATGATTTCATTGTTTCCCAATCACATTCCTTGTCAAATTCATTTGATTCTGAAATTTATTAATGGACCTCCAATGGTTAATCCAATGATGTATCAGCAAGGAATGATCCCTAATCCTTCAATGATGCAAGGAACACAAGGAATGAACTCCATGGTTGGAAATCCAATGTTTCCTCAGAATCAGATGCTTTTTGGCGGTCAGACACAGATGCCTCAGATTATGCAAAACATAAATCCCCTATACTCACCATACAAATATAGAAATAACCAAATATAATAAAATTTTTGTTTGTATTTCTTTTCATAAACCAATGTTTTTTTCAACACATGACATGTACTTTCAAATTCCAGCAAATAGGTCCTGAAGTAGAATTTTTGTTGAAATTCCAAAAGTGACAAATAAATGAATTCATTTACAGAAATAACTAAGGAAATAATTGGCCAGTCAAAACAATTTCTTCGTGAAAATGCCTTACAGTTAGGAGGTCTAAGCGCCGTTGCTGCGACGCTCTTTACATTCAACAAACTCACTGATATGAGAATTCGCGCGTTAGAAAATCAAGAAGAGCTTAGAGAACAACAAGCTGTAGCACTACTTAAGCAAAAATTACCATTATCCGTCTTAAGAAAGTATTCATTATCAAAGTGATCAGATTTACTTCAGAAACAATTACATTTTAAGAGCGTTCTGAAAAAGAATCTCATTGTTTTTTATAGATTTATATAAACTATTATGTTTTTTAAAATACAATTTTCGATTTTTTTAAATCACAACTTGTTTGCTTATTTGAGATAAATCAGTACTATTTTTGTATACGTTGTTCCCTAAATACTGATTAAATTTTCGCATTCTTTTAAAATATTAGTTTTCTCTTTCCTAAAACATCATATTAATATACTTCACATAAAATATCAAGTAAAGCTCTGTGAGACATCTTTTGTTATGTTTAAATTCCGCTTAATTTTTACCTAACGTTAGAATTATATATCACAGGTCACATAACGGTTACTTCACGAATAATGGGAAATAATTTGTCAGCTGAAGGGTTAAAAAAATATCGAAATTGATTTGCAAAATTATTGCAAGATAAAAAAGTTTTGCTGTATGAAATCTGCCATTTACACTTGAAAAACCATCGATCTATTAATATTAGGAATATTTTCACTTGGAAAAATTGACCTTTCAATTTTGATTGGAAGTGAAATGATTAATAATTTATCAAAATTGCGATAACACAATAAAAGAATATCCCTGAATCTTACTGATTAAGAAATTTGAAAGGCACGATAAGCACTCTGAATATTGAATTACTTAGGATCACAACCAACTTTTTGCCAATTTTTCTAAACAATGCTTTTCTTTTTACAATTGAGAATTGAACCAGAATGGGAATATCCAATGATAAGTGATGGGTACATAAAAACAGCATATAAGATTACCAATGTATTTTATAATGTCAGCGAAAATTTAATGTTTAATCCATATTATCCAAACAAAAAGTGGGATACCATAGCTGAATACAATGTTACATCACCACGAGATGCTTCAAATCTTCGATTTTTGTTCATTGGACTTGGTTTCAATAAAAATGATACTCGGTTCACTAAAAATTATGAAAAAGAGCATGATATTGGAAACAGAAGTATTGGAGATATAGCTGACGGATCCAGACTATCTGAAGCAACAGCATCTATCTCAATTGGTGTATTACCAAATTATACAATACTCGATAATGCAAATTTCAGCTATTTTTGGATGAACAACGAGGAAGTTACAAAAGTCGATGATTTTTTAACCGAATTTGCTAAACTTACCAGTAATAATTCAGACTTTTTATTTGATATCATCGTTATGTCTTCAACTCGCGGCCTTTTCCTTATTGATCAAAACGAATCACTACTCCCATATTACCGATTTGACAATTGGGATTCCACAGTCGAAAAAATTATTAAAGCTAATAATACAAGAAAGAGCAATTTTAGTCCCATCGTTATATTCCGTGCAGGTGATGAAGGTGTTCTTCCAGTAGATGCCCAATACAATACTTTGAATTATCTTCCCAAAACTTTTTTGATCGGATCAAGTGCTGCAACCAGAGGAAGTGCTTTCTATTCTCAATGGTCATCAGGATTGCTTGCTGTTGTCCCAGCAGGAGGCCATGATACGTTAACTTTTGGATTATCAAGATTTTATCCAAGCATAAATGTGGCCAAATCAGAGATAAATAAAGACAGACCAGGATATGGATCCAATATTGGCACTGGTATTTTTGCTGCCGTCATTGCCATGATGAAGATTAAATATAATCACACGAAAATCGATTACAGAACAGTTTTATACATGGTCGCATTAACATCCACAGTCATTGATGATGAACATCCTATGTGGGTTAACAATTCCGCTTCAATTATGTATAATCCAGCATTTGGCTACGGAAGAATCAATTTAGATAAGCTTCTAGATGATGAAACATTCAACGAGATTAATAATCTTAAAGGAGATCTCGTTAAATACACAGCTTATACTAATTACAGCAAACAAGCAACATATCTTAAATTTGCAGGTGAAGAAGACTCCAATTTTACATTTAATTTTCCTGAAAATACTAACATGACTAGAGTAGAAACAGTTCAATTCTCTTTTTACTTAGAAAAGAGATTTTATTCGGATATCAACATAAAGATTGTAAGTCCCAGTGGAACAGAAGCAATTATCAAACAAGGAGGAATAGGAGAAGTAAAAGGTTTGAAATTCAAAATTTTACCTAAATTGGAATATGTCATTTTAAGTCGTGAGTTTTTAGGTGAAAAACCAGATGGAGATTGGAAAGTATATATCAAACATTGGAACTATATTCCAGTAGACAGAATCTGGGGAATGAAACTGAATTTCACAGGTTCAAATAGTCATATAAAATTAGCGGAACATAATAAACAAAGTAAGCATGAAAAGAAACCATATGTTCATGATAACAAAGTAAACATCAAATTCGCTGATAATTTACCTGATAAAACACCAAGGAAATGTATGGAATTACAAACAGTTACATTGAATTTAACAGATCTTGGTGATTTATATCCAGATAACATCAGTGGAATAGGTACTGTTTATTTATCATATTATCTTAGAAATGTTTTACCTGATGGAAATAAATCAAGTAGAATATTCGATCTCAGACCAAAAAGAATCAATTATTTAAAACTTATTGAAAGCAACTATATAACAAATTATTCATTTGTTGCACCATGTATTCTCAAGAATAACTCTCAAATAGTTATGGGAGTAAGAAATATTTTTACAAACAAATCAATTGAAACAGAAAAATTTAATTTAATCAATGATCACAAAATTGGTTTAATTAATGTAGATGAATATGATCATTATACCAATCAATCAATGGAGTTTAATTACTCTTTTCATGAAGATTATTTTCCAGAACATGGAAAGCCACAGTTTCTTCAAATGTCAATATATGATTTAAAGAAATGGGAACCTATTTACGCTTATACATATGTAAACAATGGTTCAATATATTTTAATTTCAGTACATTAAGTAGAACTGTTAAGAAAGGAGTTATTTCATTATCAGCAATGACAACTACACGAAAATGTTCATCAATTATTTATCCATTCAGAAAATATTTAGAGCATGAAGTACCAGATCCAAGACCGAAGAGGCCATTTAAAGTTCGAATTTTATATCAAGATGATGAATCTTGCAACTATGATAGTACATCCTTCATACAATATCCGACAGGTATCTTTGAACGAAGAAGTGTTGCAGATTACAAATACTATGTTGGCGAAGGCATTAACAGATTTGAAATTTCAATTCCAATTGTTATTCACGCTGCTGCAATTGCTATTGTTATATTTTTGGCAAACTTCTTCAGGAAGAATAATGATGCTGGTTCTGGATATATTAAAAAATAACTCCAACGAATGAAAGATTTGTCTTGATAAATTTTCCTAATCCATGTTTTCTTTGTTGTTAGTCAGAGCTATTTCTCTGACTCAAACTCATTTTGTATATGTTTTAAAACCGAAATATGTTTACAATTTTTTCAGCTAGCTTTTTTTTTGAAAATTTGAGCGTTTTTAAAAAACTGCCGTTTGTTCAATTGAAATTAATCTTAACAAAATGAACTTTTTCACCGCAGAATATTGCGAACAATAAATAAATTTCATTCTCTGCTTAGAGGAATGGTTAATTTTTCATGTATTGCATATTTCACTTAGGGTTAGTGATCATATTTTGTAAAGCTCTCAAAATTTGTCACAAATTCAATATTTTTTTTTAAAATATTTGATAATATTTACCTCACTCTATATTGCAACTTCGGCTAAGTTTTAAATCAACAAATTCACTTTAAAACATCAAATCTCATACTAAATATCGGATTTCAGGTTCAGATTTTTCTTATTAAATCTAATTTAAAGCTGAAATTCGAAAAAAATGTTTAAAAATATCATAAATAATTTATAGGCTAATATAAAATTTAGATAAATGCTATCCAATATGATGAAAGTACTGCTCGTGACATACAAAATACTTTTTTTTTTCACACTAGATGATTTTTGAATTAGGAACAGATTACGACTGGTTTATATTATAATCGGCATTTTGTTAATTCAATAGATGTATTTTCAAATAGATTCCATAACTATGTGTGGTATTCAGGGAATGGTTCATTACTAACAATCGGAAGCGGCCGTCTTGACGGTTTAGTTCCAATGGCCGAAAGCTTTGATATAGGCGCACATAACTATTATAATCTAATTTATGTCTATTGTATTGATAAAGGATTTGCCTATCAGCTTGGAACATACTATAAAAGTGTTCCTCTTAGAGAAACTTTTCCAGGAACTGTTAAAAATTATTCTAAATTTGAAGAGAAACTAAAAAAAATTCTTTATGTTTCAAATGAAATTAGAAAGGAAAGATTTTTGGGTTGCCATGGTTATTCTCCAAGTTTAAATGGCAGTATTGATTATTTGATAGATGGTGCTAGAAAACGTAATTTAGCAACTCAATTATTGATTTGGAATACGATTCATGGCGGTGGTATAGTTTCAAGAGATTTTGATTGCAACGTGTATTATGTTGGGGTTGGGACAGAAAAAGAAATCTATCTGAAGGGAGAATATAGTGATGTTAATAATGAACTCCCTGAAGATGTTGCAATTATTGATTTTAAAGAATTACATATGGGTATAGAACCTCATATGTTGCTTTCTCATATTTCTATTACAAGAACCATATCAGGTTATGGAACTCCTATTATTGCAGTTGATCCTTCAAAATATACAATGATATCACCATATGTTCTTAGAATTACATTAGAGCAATACAATGATAATTTTGGCCATCCTCAATCTAATTTATATACAATTAAATATGGAAACTTCCTTATTTTTAAGAATCAGACATTAGGTGGAAATTTCAAACTTTCTACTTACGTAGTCGGTCAATACGATAACGATCCTAATGGAAAGGTTCCTTACGATGTTGTTCGTTTATACAATGAAATAATGTATAAGGCAGATAAAATGAGAGATCTTCCAGAAACCACATTACAAAAGAAAAGTTTTAGAATCATTTTACCTAGGACGTCAAAAGAAACATTTTATAAAGGAAGTGATGGATATTTTCATTTGAAATATTTTTTGACAGGAAATGGAATATCTAATCAACCAAATATTTCAGAAGTGTCAATAGATTATATAGCAAATGGTTATCCTGTAACAGACCAAAATGGAACAAGAATTAAAGTTCCTGAAAGTTCATATGAATACAAGTATGTAAGAAAAATTGATTTAAACTATGAGTATGTTTTAAATATTATAGATCAAGCAGTGATAGATCGTATTTTTGAATATAAATTAGGTTTAGATTTAAAAGTTACAGCAAGAAATATAATGACTTATGAATTCATGGGATTGAAAGGTTATAGTCGTGCATCCCAAACAATGATTTCTTCCACAGAAATCATATCAAATACGGATGCATATGCCCATATTTTAATTAACATACCAATGAAAATATCCAATCCCATGGAAAATAACATAGTTGCTTTGTTGCATATGTTTAAAGTTGTGAGAAGTTTTCATTTATTAATACCATAAAAATATAGTGTTGAAACTCGGTTTAATAAACATAAATGTTTCAATATAAACTACAAATTTATCATGTATCATGTAAATTACAAGAAGGATAACATCCAGAATATAATCAGTACAAATATCTTTGTTCTTATAAGGCAAGAACTTACAATATGCATAGAATTTAATTATTTGTTAAAATCACATTAAATATGTCTTAACAGTATGATTTTGAAAGTTAAATTGTAAATCATTCAAAATTTTAATTTGGAAATTCATATTTAATTTTAATGCTCATCGATTATTTGAAGCTAAAAATGATTATTTCTCCATTCTGATCAAGCTTTTCTATAGATAATATTCAAAAATAACCTTAAGATATCAGACGTCATCTTTATTATGTTGTAATGTATAAAATTATATAATAAGATATTTTTCAACCATAAGTAATATCAAATTTGAATGCAAAACCTTTGATTGAAGCATTGAAAATTGAAAGCCTCTGAACTGATTTTCCCCAATTTTTAGTGATGCTTTTCTTTTTACTATTTCGAATAGAGCCAGAATCTGAATATCCAATGATTAACAGTGGATACATAAATACAACTTATATCATTAAGGGTGCATTTTATAATAATAATAGCGAAAGTTTAACTTTTGATCCATATGAACCAAATGATAAATGGGATTCTATAATTGAAAACAAAGAAATATATCCATTAGATGCATCAAATATCCGATTCTTATACATTGGTCAAGGTTTTAATCTCAGCGACACGAACTTTACTAAAAATCATTATAATAAAAGTGATATCGGAAACATAAGTGATGAACAGTTAAAAGATGCCATGAGATTATATGAAGGAACAGGATCAATCTCAATAACCCTTCTCAAAGACTTTTCAAAACTTGTTAATTCAAATTTTAGCTATTTTTGGATGGACAAAGAAAATGAAACAATGGTTAATAATTTTTTAGATCAATTTGGCATTCTTACAAGAAATAATACAGATTATCATTTTGATATCATCGTTATGTCATCATCTCGCGGCGTTTTTAAAACGGAAGAAAACCAATCACTATTACCGTTTTACCGGTACGAACGTTGGGATTCTGAAGTTCGAAAAATTATTGAAACCAAAACTAAAGAAAACAAGAAGCTCAATCCCATTATTATATTCAGTGCGGGTGATGAAGGTGTTATTCCATTGGATGCGCAATACAATACTTTGAATTATCTTCCCGAAACTTTTTTAATCGGGTCTAGTGCCGTAACTGGAGGCAGCGCTTTCTATTCTCAATGGTCATCAGGATTACTTGCTGTTGCTCCTGCTGGAGGCATTGACACACTAACTTTTGGATTATCTAGATTTTATCCAAGTATAAATGTGGCGGATTCAATCACTGGGGAAAACAGGCAAGGTTATGGATCAAACATGGCTGCAGGAATATTTGCTTCTGTTGTTGCTATGATGAAAATTAAATTTAATGATCCAGATTTTGATTACAGAACACTTTTATACATGGTTGCATTAACATCTACAGTTATTGATGATGAACATCCTATGTGGATTAAAAATACGGCTTCGATAAAGTTTAATCCTGCATTTGGTTATGGAAGAATCAACTTAGATAAGCTTTTAGATGAGAACATATTCAAAGAAGTTAAAGATCTGAAAGGAAATCTCGTAGAACACACAATTCGTTTGAAATATTCAGTTAATGAAACTTTTCTTAGGTTTGCAGGCGAAAATGATACAGAATATAACTTTACTTTCCCAAAGAATACTAAAATGACTAGAGTAGAAACAGTTATGTTCACTTTTTACTTGCAAAATTTATTTAATTCAGATCTTCACATTCGAATTAAAAGTCCAAGTGGTACTATTGCTACCATCAGATCTGGAGAAAAAGGTGAACAAAGAGCTCAAGATTTCAAAACTTTACCTAAGATGGAATTTGCAATTTTAAGTCGAGAATTTTTAGGAGAAAAACCAGATGGAACTTGGACAGTATATATCAAACATTGGAACTATATTCCAGTAGATAGAATTTGGGGAATGAAATTGTCTTTCACAGGATCAGATAGTTCAATAAGTTTGACTGATCATATTAAACAAGGCAATCTTACAAGGAAACCATATATTCATGACAACAAAGTTAACATCAAATTTGCTGATGATAAACCAGATGATACACCAAGGCAATGTATGGAATTACAAACAGTCACATTTAATTTGGATGATGTTGGTATTTCATTTGCTGATAATATCAATGGTTCCGAAATTCTTTACTTATCATATTATCTCAAAAGTGTTATCAATAATAAAGTTTCAAATCGAATCTTTGATCTCAGACCGAAGAAAATAAACAGGACTGCAAGTAAAAACAATATCATAAATTATTCATTTGTTGCACCATGTATTCTTAAGAATAACTCTAGAATAGTTATGGGAGTAAGAAATGTATTTTCAAACAAATCAGTTGAAACAAAACCTTTTAATTTAATCAATAAGTATAATATTGGAATCATCAATAGAAGTGGTTTTGAAATTTATACAAATGAAACAATGGAGTTTAATTATTCATTTCATGAAGATTATTTTCCAGAACATGGAAAGCCACAGTTTATACAGATGTCAATATATGATTTAAAGGATTGGAAACCTATTTACGCTTTTTCACACATCAACAATGGCTCATTTGTTTTTGATTTCAATAAATTAGAGAAAAATGTTAAGAAAGGAATTCTTTCATTGTCAGCGATGACAACAACACGAAAATGTTCTTCAATTATTTATCCATTTAGAAGATATTTAGTAGGTAAAAGGCCAAGCCGTGATCCGAAGAGGCCATTCAAGATTCAAATTCTTTATCAAGAGGATGAATCTTGCAACTATCAAAATACTTCTATATTCGAAGCGTATCATAGCGGAACTATTCTGAACAAAAGTGCTCAGGATTACAAGACATATATTGGAGATGGACTAAAGGATACAGCATACATTACGCCAATCGCTCTTCATCTGTTTGTAGCGGCCTTTGTTGTATTTGTTTCTAAATTCTTCAAGAAGAAAATAAATCCAGATTATTCTACTGATGATCTACAAAAACAAACTCAACAAGAGTTGATTCCAAACAATGTAATTTGATTCAAAAATATTAAAGCATTTTAGACATTGTTCAAGGACTTTAATAATAAAGGGAACTTAAAATAAGAAAAAGAATTAAATACCTCACTGATCTCTAACTTCAAAAACATATTTCGGATTTCTTCTTTGAAGTAAAAAAAAGCTATCTTTTTTTGTAAAGTTTTCGATTTTTGAAATGATTTCGGATATTTCTATAAGAAGAAGAATATCAGATTCTATTATATTAAGAATTTCTGCTTTAAACACGATTTAAAATATAATACATTATCTTTTGACCATCGTTTTCTTTAATAAGAAAAATAATTTAAACAATATTTCTTTGATGATTGGACAAATATTGTTTTTAACACATAAAAGTGTCTGTAGAACAACATAAAAACAATTTAGCATACATGAGGGGGAGTCATCTGATCCATATTCTGACAAACACACTTTTTCAAAAATTCGTCGAATTGCTGATAAAGGTTTTTCAAATATTTTATTTAGAAATTTAAACATCTTTCAATTATTGTAATAAACAGAAATTCAGCAAAAGTGACAGCTCTCAATTTTTTTGACATTTGTAAATTCTAAATTGAATGAGAAAAATGAAATAATACTAAGCATAATACAATATTCTAGATTTAATTATAATTAGGAAAAAGTTAGTTTTGAGAGTACTTTTCATAGGCATATAGAATGAAATCTTCTGAAAAATAATATCACATAAACTCATATTATTTTCTAATATATAACTATTTTATATAAAAATCAAATTCAATGATCTTAAAAGCGAAGGATAAACCTCAAAATTTACGAATATAATGAGTGGGAATATAATGCTTATCTATCATAAAACCATATGAAATATCAATTTTTGCTTTACGCCCAATTTTTGACGACAATTAGCAAAAAATGTTAAATGTTAACACTCAGTCCATTTGAATATGAAAAATAAAATTGACTTTGATTAAATGTTTTTATTTATCATGCAATTCTTCTTGCGACCAAAGATTTGAATAAAAGTTCAAAAAATAAGATAGCTTAAAAAATAATATACGGTAGTGTTTACTAATAGATGAATAGTATATAAATTCTATTAAAATGGATTTGATCCAAAAAAATATAAAACCAAAAATAATTGTTATAATTTAAATGAAGAAGTAATTTAAAACGATTTTATTTATGATCAAATTTTATATATTTTTTTGGATCAAATCCATTTTAATAGAATTTATATACTATTCATCTATTAGTAAACACTACCGTATATTATTTTTTAAGCTATCTTATTTTTTGAACTTTTATTCAAATCTTTGGTCGCAAGAAGAATTGCATGATAAATAAAAACATTTAATCAAAGTCAATTTTATTTTTCATATTCAAATGGACTGAGTGTTAACATTTAACATTTTTTGCTAATTGTCGTCAAAAATTGGGCGTAAAGCAAAAATTGATATTTCATATGGTTTTATGATAGATAAGCATTATATTCCCACTCATTATATTCGTAAATTTTGAGGTTTATCCTTCGCTTTTAAGATCATTGAATTTGATTTTTATATAAAATAGTTATATATTAGAAAATAATATGAGTTTATGTGATATTATTTTTCAGAAGATTTTGTGTTCTTCTTCAAAATTTTACTTTTTTATTAAAAAGAATCTTTACAAAATATACATTTACTTTAATTAATATTTAAAAACGTTCTCTATCAAAAGTTCCAAAAATTCAATATTTTAGCTTTTCTGAGGTGTCACTTTTGATGAATTTCTTTTTACAACATTATTGATCATTTCATTGTAATAATTTCTTATAAATTCAAAAAATAAACTTTTTGAATACCTATTCGTCGCAAGCAAATTGAATCATGCATGTGATAATAATCCAAAAAGCAAAAATCATATTGTCTGGTCATATTTAAATTGAATAAGATTACATTTTTTCTCTCAATTTTGAGTAAAAATGATCATATTTACATGGAATTAATTTTCTTTTTACAATATAGGATCGAACCGGAATGGGATTACCCAACCATTTCTGGTGAACATGTACGGACAATTTATCCTCTTACAGATGTCTTTGATAATTCTAACCACAATTTAACTTTCAATCCATATGCTACATATAGCAATTGGGACTCAATAACTAATAAGGGCCCAATCAAACAGGAAGATGCTTCAAAAATTCATTTTTTGTTCATTGGCGAAGGCTTTAATGACGATGATCCGAGATTAAATCGCACCTACTTTAAGGGAGGCGATATCGGTATCACTATCTCTGGAAACAAATCTGGCAACTCCAGTTTTTTCGAAGGAACGGGCTCCATCTCCTTAGCCTTAACAAAAGATTTCTCTATGTTCGACAATTCCAATTTTAGCTACTATTGGATGGAGAAAGCAGAGGAAACCCAAGTTGAAAACTTCTTAGGCAACTTCTCAAAACTCGAATCTAATGAGACCAATTATTCTTTTGAGATCATCATTATGTCATCACCACGTGGTGTTTTCCGATATGAGAAAAGGGAATTATATCCATTTTACCGTTACGACAATTGGGATATTGAAATCGAAAAGGTTATTGAAGCTCAGAACAACAAAACCAATATTTCAAGTCCTATCATTATATTCAGAGGCGGCGATGATGGCATGCTCCCATTGGACTCCCAACATTATACTCTTAATTATCTTCCACAGACATTTTTAATCGGATCGAGCACAGTTACAGGCGGAAGTGCCTTCTATTCTCAATGGTCATCAGGTCTACTTGCTGTTGTTACATCTGGAGGACAAGATACGTTGACTTTTGGAAAATCCAGATTTTATCCAAGTATTACTGTCGCAAATTATACGACTGATTTAAATAGATCTGGCTATGGATCAAATATGGCCGCCAGTATCTTTGCTGCTGCTGTTGCTAAGATGAAATTGAAATTTAATCACACAAGAATCGATTACAGAACAGTTCTATATATGGTTGCATTAACATCTACAGTTATTGATTATGAACATCCTCTGTGGATTAACAATACCGCTCATGTTATGTTTAATCCTGCATTTGGCTACGGAAGAATCAACTTAGATAAGCTTCTCGATGAGAATATATTCAATGAAATTAATAGTCTTAAAGGAGATCTCGTCAAACATACACTTTATCTAGTAAATAATAAAGATGAAGAAGATAACAGACTTATGACGTTTGCAACAGAAAAAGAAAGGCTTTATGTATTTAATTATACTAGTACTGAGATGCAGAGGGTTGAAACAGTACAATTCTCATTTTATTTGATGAATTATACTTTTTCCGATGTCCATATTCGAATTAAGAGTCCAAGCGGAACAGTAGCTCATATCAGACAAGGAGGTATGGGTGAACAAAAAGGTATTCAACTTGATCCTCTTCCAAAAATGGAATTTGTAATATTAAGTCGAGAATTTTTCGGTGAAACACCAAAAGGAGAATGGAATGTATATATGAAGCATTGGAACTATGTACCGCTGGACTCAATTTGGGGAATGAAGTTGAATTTTACAGGATCAACAAATTCCAAAAATTTGACAGAACATAACCATCAAGAACACTTAACACAGAAGCCATATGTTCATGATAACACTCAAAGTGTCTATTTTACAGACAATGAATCAAGAGTTTGCATGAAATTACAAAATGTCACTTTTAATTTACAAGATCTTGGCCAACTTTATCCAGAAAACATAAATGGTACAAGCACTGTATACCTTTCCTACTATTTACGTAATGTTGTCAATGAAAGTACAACAAATCGAATTTATGATCTCCGACCAAAGCGAATTAATTTCACAAAAGGTGATGATCAGAACCAGACAATCACTTATTCATTTGTTCCACCATGTATTCTTAAAAATAACACAGAAATAGTTATGGGTGTGAGAAATATCTTTTCAAACAAATCAGTTGAAACAGAAAAGTTTAATTTGATAAATCCATACAAAGTTGGATTGATAGGTGTAGAAAATTATCATAGTTATATAAATTCAACAGTTGAATTTAATTATTCTTTTCATGAAGATAAGTTGCCAGAACATGGAAAGACACAGTTTATTCAACTAACTTTATATGATTTGCACAAATGGAATTCTGTTTACGCATTTTCACATGTGAATAATGGATCATTTTTTGTGGATTTCACAAAATTAGGTGATATTAAAAGAGGAGTTCTCTCTATATCAATGATGAACACATCAAGAGAATGTTCTTCAATTATTTATCCATTTAGAAGTTATCTAAAGGAGCCACCAAGACTTCCAAAAAGGAATTTTTCAATACCTATTAAATACCAAGAGAAAAACTACTGCGATTACACTAATAGTTCAATATTCGTTGAATATGACAGCAAAACATTTTTTAAAAATAATGCATATGATTTCAAAACATATGTTGGAGGAAACCCAGACTTATCTGCATATGTAACTCCAATTGCTATTCATGCTGCTGCAACAGCTCTTGTTATTTTTGCCGTTCATTTCTTCAAGAAAAAGGAAAATAATGAAACATCAACTGAGGAATTACAAAAAGAACAACAATTTACATCAAAAACATTGTAATTATAGAAGAAACTGTTTACAGAAGTGATTATAAGAAAAATTAAAAAAAAACAGTTTCCAAAAATTGCTGTGAAAAAAGGTGAAAACCGTTTCATACCATGATCTTCCAAATTCTCAAATTTGAAAAGTCTATCAAGTAATATGGATCTTTGATACTCTTTAGTCTTGATTTATGTACAGTAATGGTATGAAAAAAATCATTGTAGTTATCGTAGATAATTCAGCGGAAAATTAGTTTATTTTGATTTAGGATGTCTTTAAGACATTCTCGATCAAAAATATTTTGACAGCCTTGTCTCAAAATTTGAGAGGTATTGAAAATTTCAAATTGCCGAACATGTTTTGTAATACATACTGTTTTATCTGTAGAACATAAAATATCATTTAAGGAAGAACTAAGGCGAAAATGGAAATTTCCAAAATATGAACCTTAGAAGTTCTTTTACGAAATATTCTTGTATGAATACTCATACATGAATGATACTTGGAAATATTATGAATTCTGAATATCTTTCATCGTTTTTGAGAATAAATTTTCAAATGTTTTTCTCGATTTTTATATACATAGAGCCAATAGAAGAATATCCAACAATCGAGCTTTCATCTGATATGACACAGTACAGTGATATGAAAAAGTATATAACAAATGAAACCTCCGAAATCTTCGATCCATACTCAAATTACCCCAATTATGACACAATTACCGAAGAAAATTTTACCGATACATATGATGTCTCACACTTAAAATTTTTATATATCGGAAAAGGTTTTAATGATACAAATTTATTAATTAATAAATCATACGACAGTACATATGATGTTATTGTTGGACAGAATTATACAAAAAATGATCTTTCTGAAGAATACTACGAAGGCACCGGTTCTATTTCAATCGCATTGAGTGAAAGTTTTTCTAGGTTAACTGGTGCCAAATTCAGCTATTTTTGGGTTAAAAATGTTAAGGAGATGGATACATTCATAGGTGGATTTAGGAATTTAACTAAAAAAGAAGCAAATTTTGATATTATTGTTATGTCAATGTTTCGAGAATTTTTTACAATTGTGAATAATACCGGAAATAACCAAATACCAATGCTTCCTTTTTATAGATATGACAAATGGGATAATTGCATTTCTGAACTCTTAGATAAATATGACCAAACAATATTCATCATACGCTCAGGTGACTACGGTGTCCTTTCTGTAGATGCCCAGTACTTCAGTCTCCTTTATCTGCCACAAACGTTTATAATCGGAGCAAGTTCAACGTCAGGAAGCTCCACATTCACATCCCAATGGTCATCAGGAACTCTAGCATGCGTTACGTCCGGCGCTAGTGACACTTTGACCTTTGGTCCGGCAAGATTCTTTCCGAAAATCACTGTAGCAAGCTCTTTCGGAGGAGATCGAAAAGGATTCGGGTCAAATACAGCAGCATCTATTTTTGCATCCGTTGTTGCTATGATGAAAACAAAATTTAAAGATAAATATAAAATTGACTATCGTACAGTATTATATGCAGTTGCGCTTTCATCAACAATCATTGATAGTTCTCATCCCTTATGGATAACGAATAATGCTAGTATTTCATTTAATCCCGCATACGGTTACGGTAGAATTGAATATACGAAGCTTATAAGTGAAACTCTGATAAAACATGTTGATGAAGTCAAAGGAAATTTTATAAATAAAACAATCTACGCAGATTACGATGTAAAATTATTCACAATTACTTTTGCAGGCGAAGAAGAAAGGAATTTTACTTTTGATTTCCCAGAAGGCGATATGAAAAGAGTAGAAACAGTTTCATTTATTTTCCATTTGAGACATTTCTATTATTCAGATTTACATTTCACTTTGACAAGTCCAATGAAAACAAAAGCAGTCTTAAGATCTGGTGCAAAGGGTGAACGATTTAGTGAAGAGAAGAAACATCTTGAAACAATGGAGTTCGTTATTTTATCTCGTGAATTTTTCGGTGAAAAACCAAATGGCACATGGACAATTTCAGTAAAACATTGGAACTATGTACCTGTAGATGAAATCTGGGGAATGAAACTGAACATCACAGGATCAGATAGTGATAAAGAATTAAATATTAATAAGACAATTTCAACTAGAAAACCATTTTCAAATGAAAAAGCAAAATCAACAATAAAATTCTCTGATAATCAAAATAAACCAAGACAATGCATGGAGAAAGTGTCTGTCAATTTCAATTTATCCGATCTTGGTAATGTATCTAGAGAATATAATGATAGTTCTACTTCAGAAGAAAAAGATATTCGTTATTTATCATTTTATCTTAGGAGTTTTAATGAAACTAATGGAACAGATTCTGAAAGAATATTTGATCTCAGACCGAAAAAGATTAATCTATCTAGAGATAAAAATAAACCAATAGAATACTCATTCTACCCTCCATGTATACTGAAAGACTGATCATATGTAAAAATGGGAGTTAGAGATACAATAACAAATAACATGATAGAAACAGAAAAATTTCAAATTAAAAATAACCATACAGTAGGTATTTATAATTATGAACCTTATCATGAATTCGGAAAAGAACTTGTTGAATTCCAATACGCTTTGTATGAAGATTATTTACCGGAACACACGAAACTACAGTATATACAGCAAACATTGTATGATCTAGAAAATTGGAGATCACTTTATGCATTTGCTAACTTTATTAATGGTTCATTTTACGTCAACTTTACACAATTCAATAAAAGTATTAAAAAAGGAATTCTTTCTTTGTCGATGATGAAGACTACAAAGCCATGCTCAACAATTCTATATCCATTCAGAATGTATACATCAAAGGGAAACAGTACTGGCACAAGTAGACTACATCGAGATTTTTCTTTCCCAATTAATGCTGCAAAAGATGAATATTGTGATTATTCTAATACAGAAATCTTTAATTCAGAAGGCTTTAAACATAAGATTATTCCAACAAGAGCAAGAGATTTCCTCAGATATGTCGGTAATTCAGATACTTCAGCATACTTAAAGGCAATTCTGTGGCCAATAGTAATACACGTGGCAATTGCTATCACAGTGTACTTTATGAGAAAAATGTATAAACCTAAAACATCAAGAGAATCATCCCCGGACACTCTACAAGTATAAAAAGCATATATATTTTTGTTTCTATTAAGAATAAAAATCGGGCTCTTTTAGTATTATTAATTTCGGATTTTTTTTCATTTATGCCAAATTTTGAATCTCACTCATTTTTCTTAATACAATGGAATGCAGAATATATTTTCAGTTTAAATACAATTCATTATGAACTATTCAATTCTATATCTCATTTTATTTTCACCAACAATGCCTTTCAATCATTTAATTCAATATAAATTTCTTAATGTTGTGGTAAATGCACGATAAATAGGCTTCCCTTATAAAATTAATATATTTTTTTTTCTTTTTAATTAAATAAACAACAAGTAATAGAATGGAATAGAAAAATATCATTCATCTAAGCAGTAGAGCTTAAGTTTGCTTTGGATATTATGAATAGATTCTTTGAAATCATTTGGATAAAGTATTGTAAAATCATTAACGTAATCATTGAATGACTCAGTAATTAGCGATATTTGGTGGGCATCTGGAGTAACCTTTTCGGACAATTTGAAAAATGAATTGAATAAAATTTCGATTATAACAAAAGGAGACCGAGCAGCCACCAGAATAAGGTCTACAATCTGCTTCATTGAAGAATTAATTGGTTGTAGAGTTTCTAAATATTCGTTAATTTGTTTTTTGACACGATCAAGATGTTCAATTCCAAAGGAGAGACTAACTATTGATTTAACAACACAATTAAAGTTTGGTTTTAAGTTATGAGGATTAAGCATGTAATCTTTGAATTCATTTTCAGAATAAAGAGGAATTGGAAGCTTACGTTCACTACGTGGACTATATTGGCTCATTTTACGACGTTTGGGCTGAGGGGTAAAGAGCAGGGGCTCAGCAGGGATTTTTGGCATTTTGTAATATAAAATTTTTATATTTCTCAAAGAAAAAAATGCCATTCAAATCAAGAACCTCATATTCACATTAAATATTTCAATATTAACAATTCTACCGGATTCATTTTGTGTTTACAAATCCATCAATATTATATTATATTAGAAAAATAAGCATTAATGTGAAGCGCCGTTGGCCCAATTGGATAAGGCGACTGCCTACGGAGTAGTAGAGTCCAGGTTCAAGTCCTGGACGGCGCGTTTTTTCCTTTTTAGTTTTCATCCCGAAATCAAAGTCGAAAATATCATTTTTTTATTATATTCAGCGCAATTAACGTCCACTTTAATAATAATTTGCATCTTTAATGACAAATTCAGAATATATACTTCATTAGTTTAAGGGTGGGGAAAAGTGATGTGACCGAATAACAAAAAGTAAAAATAACTAAATAAATATTTGAAATTCTTTTGTTATTGTAGCATAATTAAATAGTGTATATAAATAAGTATTTACTACAAAGTTTGGGTCGTCTGAGATCTCTATCTGGTAGAGAAATAATGAATGAAAAAATTGAATTTCCGACTGTATCTAGTCTCTGGTTTTTGAATTAATATCAAAAATACTTAAGGTATGCATTATAGGTACATAGATCTATTTTTTCTATTGAACAAAACACGTATCTATTAAATTCGTCTAAGATGCAATAAGTGATGAGATCTGGAACTACTTATAAAATTTGCATAAAATCAATGTATGAGAATAAACAGCATATAAATACCAATTACATCCGATACTTTTCTTTACACTTTGCACCTATTCAGAGTTTAATTAGATTTGTATTTAGTCTTTCAATATCAGATAAGGAGTCTTTCTTCATATTTAAATATATAAAAGATGCTGTTTTCTATGTTTTCTATTGAGCATATTTTGTGCTTAAAGCTCCAATCATGAAATATTTAAAGTTTTTTACCCCTATCAAAAGCGAAAGTCAAATATTGATCACAGGAGGGAAAACAAAAAGCTTGCATATATGATAATGAAATTATGGCATACGTATACTACTACAAACGATATTTGTAGCTATATAATTTTTACTGAAAGATATTAAACATATGGCGAGATAATAGCATTTTATTTTTGTTCATTCACTTCACTTTCCGCCACCCTTAATAAATTAAGATTTTGTTTAAACAATTGTGTTGGTTCGTTAATACGTTTTCAACACATTATTATCTTCTAAGTAACATTGAGAATGATAAGTGTATCACAATATATTATCTCTTCAAATAGTAATATTTTGAAATAGCATGCAAATCATGGATTTCAACTATTAGAAGTGGGTTAATTGATTTAAGACGAATGTTTAATAATTATATACATAAATATCCTTAGATATCAGTAGGATTTAAACGATTTCTCTGCTATTGCCAAAATCTACTTAATTTTAACTACATCTCTGAAATATAACAAATAAGAGTGTTGATTGAAATTCATATTGATAAATAATTGACTTATTTAACGACATTTCTTTGAAAAAATTTAGAAATCGAAACGAACGGAAGATAGAATTGACATTACAGGCAGAAATTCTAACAAGTAAATGATTGATTAAAGCTAAGATCATTAGACCAAACAGTAGAATCAATACAGATTCAATGTAATTGACACTTTTAATGGCCACTCCAGAGATTCTGGATATGCACACTTTATATGTTATAATGCAATCTGATCATACTCTAATTCAATATTTGAGACTCTATACGGTTATCTATTTTTAAGAAGGCATACAACGAAAATATATTTAATTAATATTAACAAACAAAATTCCGATTTTTTCAGATTCGATTTTTTTTTTCATTGTAAAATTATTTTCTTATATGAACGTGAGTTTTCAAGGAAAGTCATATGCCGTTACACGAACAACAAAATCGATTTTAGACTTGAAAGTTTACTTGTCGAAGAAAACCCACGTTCCTATGTCTGATATGGAAATATATAAGAAAAATAAATTACTTCCTGACGAATACAAGCTTGATTCTGCTGAAAAGGAAAAAGAGATCACTTTAGAATGCAAAATCAATGAAAAGCAGACCGATAAAACTAATAATGAAATAATTTCGTATCAAGTCGATCCGGAAAAAGTAAAATACTTAACAAACATGGGATTTACGTCACGCCAAGTCACTGCTGCGTTGAATATAACTAAAGGTGATGCTGATAAAGCAGTATTTATCTTAAAACAAACTGCAACTCCGAAATGAGTAAGTTCTCCTTCACCAAAAAAGAAAAACTCCGATAGCAAAAGAAAGGAAAAAGAAACAACTAAAAATACGAGCAAAAGAAATCGAAATAAGAAAAAACAACAGAAAAATACAAAAAAGGAAGAAGAATCCGAAGAAGAAAAATCATCAGAATACGAAGAACCTAGTGAGAAGTCATCTGAAAGCGAAAAACAATCTTCTGCCTTTACTCCAGCCCAATCTTCCGAATCCGATTCTCCCGAGATTACAGCGGCTCCAACTGAGTCAGATCCAGCCGAAGATGCACCAGAAGATGAATCTGAGTCAGCACAAGATGCAGCTGATGCAGAATCTCAAGATGAAAAAAGAATTCCTGGCCCTGTAAAGAAAGTGCCTCCACAGATAAAGAAATTGGATAAAGACCCCAAAAATCTGTATATTGACCAAAGCGCTGATCTTCCAAAAGACGCTTTTCTCGATGTTTCAGCTTTAATCAAAAAATTCTTCGAAGCAAAAGGAAAATGAGATGAAACAGCATCAGCGTTCCCTGCGTTTACCAAAGGATATCTAAATTACGTATTATATATCATGTTACTTCGAATTCGCCAAATGTGCACGCATTTCACTTCAAACGCATTTACGAATAGAGAGACAAGAATCATTCTCGAGCGATACCACTCAGGATGTACATTCAGATACATCAGAGACTTACTTAAAATCGAAAATACCAGATCTGTTGAACAAAGACGCCGAAAGATACAGAAATCGCTTGAGGATAATACATTCCTTCAATACTTCATACATCAATACCCAAATTGCGATGAATATAAGAATGATAAAATAGAATACGACGAAGACGGACTTCCTGCTTATGTAGCCCGTTTAATCCAGAAGTACGATATTCATAAGGCCTTCCTCTTCCAGAGGAACAAGAAAAACACCAAGAAAAATCCAAATGCAAACAAAGATTTATCTGATAACGAAGCATTTGTCATTAAAGAGACACAAGAAGCACCAAAGATACGAGGATCAAGTGTTATATGGTCCATTGAAGACGATAACCAGCTCCTGAAGCTCTACGCTGAAAATATTGATTCTGATAATATTTATAAGGTTTTAACTCCTCATTTCCGGACATTAATAGCCCAGAATATTAAGAAACACACAATAGACCTCATGGAACGCGTCAAGACCGGTGAAAAAATCAAAGGACTTCGAGTTCCTGAAATTTTAACCGAAAGATTCAAAGTTGAAGAGACCAAACCCGACATGAAGATGTTCAACGTCATAGACTTAGTCAAGAGCTTCGTAAATAATGCAGGAGATCTCAATAAAACTCACGAAGAATTCGATTTCTTATCAAAAGGTTATATTATGTACGTTGTCTTCTCAATTTCTACAAGGCTTCCCACCAACAAAATTACGAAAAACCGTTTTACGGATAGAGAAACGAAGCTTCTCCTTGAAAAGAAATTTGATGACGAATTAGAGATCGACCAGATCTCCCCTTACTTCAAATATAAAGGTCCAATGGTTCTTCAAAAGAGATTGGAGGATATCACTGACCAACTCCCTGATTTGACTCCATTAAAAGATTTTGCCGAAAAAGCAAAGCCTCCAGAGGTACTTGAAGCGGCAACTTATGATTCTAAGTTCCTTCCGAACTACCTTCAGGACATGATTGACGAGTATTTGAATCCAGAAGGTTCAAATGAAAATGATGGCGAAGAAGATGGCCAATCCAAGCAAAGGAAGACTAAAAAGAATGAACCAATTAAGCTCGAATATGAAGAAGAAGAGGATAATGAACCAATTAGAGAAATTATTAATTCTATCAACGATTTAGTTCGAACTCTTGTTAATTAGTTAACACCAAACGAATATATATCCCTATTAGGAATAAATTGTTTTGTTTTAAGATTATTTTCAAAATCAAACCAAAAAAGAAAAAAAGAAAGAAATTATTGTTTTGCTTTTTAAGAATTTCGAGGAGTAAAAAAAATTAATTAAGGAATTTAAACTTGGTTAGCTAAGAATCTGTTTTGAAGCTCAATTGGCTGGGGACGATATCTTCGGTCCGTGATTTTCTTGCCAAATATTCCGTTGACTTGAGATTGTTGGTTAACCTGAGATTGCTGGTTACCTACAACTTCTTGGTTGACTTGAGATTGCTGGTTAAGAAATGGCCTTGCGTTGACTTGAGATTGTTGGTTAACTTGTGACTGCTGGTTGGCTTGATCTTGCTGAGCCTTCCTAACGTATAAAATTTCTTCTTCTGTCAGAGGAACTAATTTATAGAGGTTACCCTGTTCATCAGAGACAACTCTTACATCGATTGAATGGACTGCGTTGCTCTCTTGAACTGTTTTGTCGTCTTCGATGGCAACTTCTGGGATATCTTCTTCAACTTGGAAAATCGGGCTTTCTTTGATTTTTGCCATTTCGCGCTTTGTTAATTCGAGTTCTCTTTTAATCTGCTCGATGAGACTTTGACGAGAAGAAATGCTAAGTGATAAAAGGAACAAAAACATTTAAAGAGAAAAAGTAAAAAACTAAATTTTGAATCAGAAATTATCGTACTAAGATTCAATTAAACCGTTTTCTAAAATCATGTTACAATATTCAACCTGTATATAAAAATAATATTTTTGATATTTAAAGTTTTCAGATCAAAAAATTTTATTTTGAATGACCTATCAAATGAAAAGTTATCCTTTATTGTTAGATACGAATATATATGATAATTCAATAACAATCAAAGAATTTTATGGATAAAAAAGAAAGATTAAAATCTAAATTTTTACTAGAAAATTAAAAATAAGACATATATCAAATCTAATTTTGATGAAACGGTTAAAACCGCTGTCAAATGACATTTATAAGCAATTAATGTTACTAGTCTTATAACATAAAATATTACAACTAAATGTGAATAATTGAGAGCCATTCAATTATTTATGATTTCAATTTCTCTCTTAAAAGATGATTTATATTATATTCTATTAACTCTTTAATTTTGAATTCCATTCAAAAAAACTGAAATCTGATACATTTCTAAAAGTTCGCATTAAATTAAAATGGATAGTCTATAGATTATTAATTTTTTAAATATACATCAAATATGAAACTAAAACTGTATATAGGTAAGATTCATTTGCAAGACTATCTCATTCCTTCTAAGATTTGTGTGCGAAGGTGTAATACATAAGAAGATATATACTAGCTAATAATAGACTATCTATGAAAATGCTTTATATTAAATCAAAAGTTACAATTGACCATTGGTTTTAACTCCACAACTTGATTTCGAGAAAAATCAAAGTTATTTAAGGATAATAATATATACACATGCATTTACTTTCAAATAAATAAAATTACAAAATAAAAAAATTAAAGTTGCCACTGGAACATAAAATCGTCATCTTCCAAGTTGGTCATATCTATTGTAGGTTCCATAGACATATTAAGAGTAGGTTGTTGCTGCGGTGCAGAAGGAGGAGGCGGGAATTGAGGTGGAATATCCATCTGGAACTGAGGAACTGGCTGAGGAAGTGTGACATGGAAGTACAACGGATCCTGAACCATCTGGAATGACTGTGGAGGAATGTTTAGGATGACCTTTTTCTGAATTAATTCAGGAAGCATCATATAATTGTCTCTTATCTTCAAATTGAGAGACTGCTGCATTCTGATATCAGCCATCTCCTTGATATTAGTACTATAGCACATAATGAAATTAAATGAGTCTAATAAGAAGTCAAGCTTGCCGCCAACGCCTGGAACAGTGGCTTTCCTGACCCACTCTAATATCTTGCAGGCAATTGACTCGATCCTCATAGTATTTGGCTTGTTTTGGCATCGAGTGATGTAGACTATTGAAATCATTGTTGCAAGCTGTGTAAAGTTCTCAAATTCTGTACTGGCGTAATCTGAATTGATAACATTATCAATTAATTGGTCGAAGGAAATAATTGCTGCAATTTGAATTACAGGGTGAATGAAAAGGGAAATGGCGCTTCCGAAATTGATGTCTCCTTGTGCAAAGTGGGTCTGGAAGACTTGGACAGCAGCATTTGCAAAAACTGGTGTAGAATAAATCGAACTGTACAATTCAGAACGTCTGTTCCTGTCAACGTGAAGAATTGTTGACCAAGCGAACAAATACAAGTTTGCATTCTCATCTGCCTTAGAAATACTGTTGAAAAGACCGAAAAATGCTTCAGAAACTTGTGTCATGTACTTTGTCTGGAGATTTCTATCTGGAGCCTGGAAAACAACAGGGAACTGTACATTCTGATTATCAATTGTGTAGAAAATCGAGAATTTGAGCCAATATCCAATCAATTTTGCGTTTTCTCTCGTAATTCCTGTCTTCATGAACTCAAACGACTCTTCGAACGATTTACCTCTTGCCTCTTCCGGCAGCATCGAGAAGAAACAGCCAGGAAGCGAAATAGGTTGAGATGTCGACGAATCGAACTGATGAATGAGGTCGGCCGTCAGTTGTGGGAAGTGGCTGTTGTCGCAGAGGACAGAAATAAAGGTAGAAAGTAGGGGCAAATCGTTGGAAAAGTTCTTTACAGTGCTATCATTCAGGGAATTATAGGGATTGAAGACTTCTGGGTTCTTCTGAGCTGATGCTATTAAGATACTAATGAGTTTCGTGATGATTTCTGGTTGATATCTCTTACGGCGACATTCGGATAAATAATTCATCGGCAAATAGTGGCCATGCTTGAAGATATAGGAGAAGAAGTCACTGACAACTGAAACTACGTGGTCGGTGAAGTCGTTTTCCTTGAAACTGAGTAAAACATTTAATAAAATTTTGACAAAAAACGAAGAGGGCTGGGAAATGCAGCCACTTTCTGTGAATTCCTCGAAAAAGTTGATGAATGTCGACGATTTGAGCGATCTAAACATTAAAAGATTCGTCAAAAATGTTGGAAATACGGCTTCGAAGTCGTGTTGGTTATCTATTGAGTGGAAAGCGTCGAAAACATGGAGGCTGCACAAATACGAGAATCTTCTGAAGAAATTTCGGATGTTTTCTGTACTGATATTTACATTTTTGTTTTTGACAATCTGGGAATAAGTTTCTTTGTATTTATCCTGCAAAGAAACAATGTCTTTGTATTTGTCATGGATTGCAGTCACTAATTCCGTGATTGTGGAGTTTGTTGGATTATTTAGAATAATTTCAACAAATTTCTGGAAAAATCCGTGAAGAATCAGGATAGGAATGCTCTCTATAATCTTTGCAAGTATCTTGTGGGTGATAGAAAGCTTGTATTCCGTTGAATTATAAATATTTTCAACTAATACAGGGAAAAGTGTGGCCAAATTGAAAGTCATGATGATATCCAGTGCTTCTGAGAACATTTTCGTGTTCCCAACCACAAACGAACCAACAGAATACTGTGTAGCGTAAGGAATTTGTTCCATTACGTTTTTATTGGCCAAAATCGTCTGTTCGAGGTTACTAATATTGGTAAGGAAGAATTTAAGAGCTGAATTATACTCATCGGAGCCCAAACGACGCATTGCGTTATTAAATGCCTTATTATTCTCTTTTTTAAGGCCATAGAATGGTAATGTCGAGACAATATTGATAGTTTCAGCCTTTAGCATTGTAAAATTGCTTGAAAACTGTACTTTGCTTATGAATTCTGAATAATTTACCAAATTTGCAGCCTGGAGCTCAGCGAAAGTATGTTTGAAGCAGGCGATCTCGTCAACATGTTGGTAAACGAAGTCAACGAGCTGCTTCATGTTCAGTTTAGCCTTTGGCAACATCTGAATTACGTAAATTATTGCTGCAGCGAGATGCCCGTTGTTTTCGGGAAACCAGAACGGTATTTCAAGTAAGTCGAAGATTATAGTGTTCGTAAGAGTATAAGGAATGTACGCGATGATTCTTTGAGCTCCATTTTTAATTTTTTTGACGTCGAAGGTTGGATAGTTGCTAATTATTAAGTTCTGAAGCTGTAGAGATGGTGGTAACATCGATGTGTTAATTGCTTGATATATTTGTCTGCATCTGCGATTTTCGCTTTTCATGTTCATCATGAGCTTGTTTAGATCATTGCTGATCGAGTAATCGTAGAGAACAGGTATGTGGCCACTTATAGCGTGTAAAATTGAGAATTGAATCAAATGAGTCTTTTGTAAACACATATCTTCATTAAGCATGTTCAAATAGATCTGTTTGGCCTTCAGGGGTGTATCTCCTATCATAAACTCGTCTTGTTTTGAAAAAGCAAGGGCGCAAAGTTGATGAGAATGCAAAATTTCGTCTTTAAAGATTTTCAAGGCTGTTGGCTTCATCTTTTGAATGATTCCTGTAAGGAAATCGTAACAGTTTAATATATTTCGCTTGTATGAGTAATAACAAAATTTTGCAAAATAATCATCGTCTGAATAGTTGAATTCGAGGAGTTTGGTTGTTATATCGACATTGTAATCAAAGTATCTTGCCAGATAATGAAGAATCCATGACGCACGATCAGGAGGCGCTCTTGTATCAACCATATTTGTAATAACATAATTTATATCGTCAATTTCTATTTTGGGGAAAGGACATAATGAGTATGGATGAATCGTTGTATCTTGAATCATAGAAACAAATAAAGCAAGACCACCATCGTGGAGAGCGAGTTTTGGACCGGGTTCGAGCTTGTTTTCTTGAAGTCTTACCATTATCGGTAAATTTTTCTCAAGATTCTGGTTTTTTACATCGAGATCACCAAGATCATTGTTCCATGAATTTCTATCTCCGCCATCAAGTATTAATATTGACGTATTCGACTCGCCATACTGATATGTTGGAACATATGGCTGAGAATTACCAGAATCGGGAACAAGGTATGGCTTCCGAGCAAACTCGGTCACAAAACCCTGCATTGAAAAAAATTTATAATGCTCAAATATCTCGCTTAATAGCATATGTAACAAAAGAGTGTGACTTGTATAAAAGAAATTTATCATAGAGTTGTGGTTGATTTTTGATGTTTTTGAATATTCAAATTAATAAAAATCTCAAATTCTATTTCTAATTTTTCTAGAAATCATGAACTTATTGTATCTATAGCAAAGGAATGATTTAAAAGATTAAATAATGTTTCCCCAAAATTAGCAATTCTCAGGATAACGATTATTTTTGATTCAAATGCTGTTCGGCATTAAAATTTTCATAAGCTATTGTCGTATTTATAACAGGTTTCACATGTATTATGAGTACTTACTTTTTTCTGACATTCTCTCACGAAATCAACAAGTTTTGTTATAACAGCCACATTATGCACTATACATAGATTCATAATAATTTTTTTACCGACAACAACATTAATTTTTTGTAAAGTTAGGGATGTCAAAATTTTTGAGAGAGTGTCAAAATGTTGTTAAGGCAACTTTATTTCTTATTTATATATTGGTAACGTTGACTAGGAGGAATGCAGCATCTGTTGTAAACAGAAATTCATCAAAAGTGACACCTCAGAAAAGCTAAAATATTGAATTTTTGGAACTTTTGATAGAGAACGTTTTTAAATATTAATTAAAGTAAATGTATATTTTGTAAAGATTCTTTTTAATAAAAAAGTAAAATTTTGAAGAAGAACACAAAATCTTCTGAAAAATAATATCACATAAACTCATATTATTTTCTAATATATAACTATTTTATATAAAAATCAAATTCAATGATCTTAAAAGCGAAGGATAAACCTCAAAATTTACGAATATAATGAGTGGGAATATAATGCTTATCTATCATAAAACCATATGAAATATCAATTTTTGCTTTACGCCTAATTTTTGACGACAATTAGCAAAAAATGTTAAATGTTAACACTCAGTCCATTTGAATATGAAAAATAAAATTGACTTTGATTAAATGTTTTTATTTATCATGCAATTCTTCTTGCGACCAAAGATTTGAATAAAAGTTCAAAAAATAAGATAGCTTAAAAAATAATATACGGTAGTGTTTACTAATAGATGAATAGTATATAAATTCTATTAAAATGGATTTGATCCAAAAAAATATATAAAATTTGATCATAAATAAAATCGTTTTAAATTACTTCTTCATTTAAATTATAACAATTATTTTTGGTTTTATATTTTTTTGGATCAAATCCATTTTAATAGAATTTATATACTATTCATCTATTAGTAAACACTACCGTATATTATTTTTTAAGCTATCTTATTTTTTGAACTTTTATTCAAATCTTTGGTCGCAAGAAGAATTGCATGATAAATAAAAACATTTAATCAAAGTCAATTTTATTTTTCATATTCAAATGGACTGAGTGTTAACATTTAACATTTTTTGGGGAGGTTTTTTGTGATATGGAAAAATGTTCGTTGCTCAATTATCTCACTATTGGATGGACTTTTATCGAGCGAAATTTTGGCTGTAAAGACAATTCTGATATTGGTAACATGGTGATAAGAACAAATAGTCAGTTTGCATGGTTTATGATGAGATAATTTCGATTTAAAAAAAAACATAAAAATTGATTTTAATGAGCGATTATATTTGAATATGCTCTCCTAATTTGAAGGAACTGGTTAAATCATGAATTGATCATGAATAATTTTTTTTCAAAATAACAATTATAATTTCATATTCATTATAAGTTGAAAATATATCATAAAGACTTTATGAATGATAAATTCCTAAAAAACAAGTTAGTTTGTTTCTGAAAATAATAATAATAAAAACCAATTTAGACCCAATAATTTTTGGCGGGATAATTGAGATGTTACGATTGAATTAAAAAAAAAGCGGTAATACATTTTTACAATGATGAAGAGGCTGGCAACCTTGTAATAAACAGAAATTCATCAAAAGTGACAGCTCTCAATTTTTTGACATTTGTAAATTCTAAATTGAATGAGAAAAATGAAATAATACTAAGCATAAGACAATATTCTAGATTTAATTATAATTAGGAAAAGTTAGTTTTGAGAGTACTTTTCATAGGCATATAGAATGAAATCTTCTGAAAAATAATATCACATAAACTCATATTATTTTCTAATATATAACTATTTTATATAAAAATCAAATTCAATGATCTTAAAAGCGAAGGATAAACCTCAAAATTTACGAATATAATGAGTGGGAATATAATGCTTATCTATCATAAAACCATATGAAATATCAATTTTTGCTTTACGCCTAATTTTTGACGACAATTAGCAAAAAATGTTAAATGTTAACACTCAGTCCATTTGAATATGAAAAATAAAATTGACTTTGATTAAATGTTTTTTTATTTATCATGCAATTCTTCTTGCGACCAAAGATTTGAATAAAAGTTCAAAAAATAAGATAGCTTAAAAAATATATACGGTAGTGTTTACTAATAGATGAATAGTATATAAATTCTATTAAAATGGATTTGATCCAAAAAAATATATAAAATTTGATCATAAATAAATCGTTTTAAATTACTTCTTCATTTAAATTATAACAATTATTTTTGGTTTATATTTTTTGGATCAAATCCATTTTAATAGAATTTATATACTATTCATCTATTAGTAAACACTACCGTATATTATTTTTAAGCTATCTTATTTTTTGAAATTTTTTCAAATCTTTGGTCGCAAGAAGAATTGCATGATAAATAAAAACATTTAATCAAAGTCAATTTTATTTTTCATATTCAAATGGACTGAGTGTTAACATTTAACATTTTTTGCTAATTGTCGTCAAAAATTAGGCGTAAAGCAAAAATTGATATTTCATATGGTTTTATGATAGATAAGCATTATATTCCCACTCATTATATTCGTAAATTTTGAGGTTTATCCTTCGCTTTTAAGATCATTGAATTTGATTTTTATATAAAAGTTATATATTAGAAAATAATATGAGTTTATGTGATATTATTTTTCAGAAGATTTTGTGTTCTTCTTCAAAATTTTATTTTTTTATTAAAAAGAATCTTTACAAAATATACATTTACTTTAATTAATATTTAAAAACGTGCTCTATCAAAAGTTCCAAAAATTCAATATTTTAGCTTTTCTGAAGTGTCACTTTTGATGAATTTCTGTTTACAACAACCTCTGAGTCAAAGCACTTGTTAATGCAATGATGAAGAGGCTGGCAACCTCTGAGTCAAAGCACTTGTTAATGCAATGATGAAGAGGCTGGCAACCTCTGAGTCAAAGCATTTGTTTAATGCAATGATGAAGCTGGCAACCTCTAAGTCAAAGCACTTGTTAATGCAATGATGAAGAGGCTGGCAACCTCTAAGTCAAAGCACTTGTTAATGCAATGATGAAGAGGCTGGCAACCTCTGAGTCAAAGCACTTGTTAATGCAATGATGAAGAGGCTGGCAACATCTGAGTCAAAGCATTTGTTAATGCAATGATGAAGAGGCTGGCAACCTCTGAGTCAAAGCACTTGTTAATGCAATGATGAAGAGGCTGGCAACATCTGAGTCAAAGCACTTGTTAATGCAATGATGAAGAGGCTGGCAACCTCTGAGTCAAAGCACTTGTTAATGCAATGATGAAGAGGCTGGCAACATCTGAGTCAAAGCACTTGTTAATGCAATGATGAAGAGGCTGGCAACCTCTAAGTCAAAGCACTTGTTAATGCAATGATGAAGAGGCTGGCAACCTCTAAGTCAAAGCATTTGTTAATGCAATGATGAAGAGGCTGGCAACCTCTAAGTCAAAGCACTTGTTAATGCAATGATGAAGAGGCTGGCAACCTCTAAGTCAAAGCACTTGTTAATGCAATGATGAAGAGGCTGGCAACCTCTAAGTCAAAGCACTTGTTAATGCAATGATGAAGAGGCTGGCAACCTCTGAGTCAAAGCACTTGTTAATGCAATGATGAAGAGGCTGGCAACATCTGAGTCAAAGCATTTGTTAATGCAATGATGAAGAGGCTGGCAACCTCTGAGTCAAAGCACTTGTTAATGCAATGATGAAGAGGCTGGCAACATCTGAGTCAAAGCACTTGTTAATGCAATGATGAAGAGGCTGGCAACCTCTGAGTCAAAGCACTTGTTAATGCAATGATGAAGAGGCTGGCAACATCTGAGTCAAAGCACTTGTTAATGCAATGATAGTTAGTATACAAGTCTCGTGTATGGAGGCACTGCGTTCCTCCGTACGCAATACTTGTGAATTTGACACTTTACAAAACCGTTAACGTATATTTTACAACACAAACGACAACACTAATTTAACCTTAAATATTTACAAACCGCCAACCACTAATGACTTCATTAATGTAAAAATAAACGTTCTCACTTACAAAAGTATTGCAACTCCTCCCATTGCTGTGCTTCACATAACAGCTCATAATCTTCTGACTCACTTTCTTCTTCATATAGGTCAAAGTCACTGTCAAAATAAATGTTAGTAAGTTTTGACAAAGCTAATGAAACACGTTTACCGTTTGTATCGTATGCTTGTATAAACTTTCCATTCTTCATTCCTTCATAAACGCTCAAACTAACTTTACCCTTTCTCCCTCGTATCTGATAGAATGTATTTTCACGAGGAACGAAGAACAAATTCTTGAACTCATGACCGTTGTAGTTTGTTATCTCAATAGTTTTCGTCATTTACATCCAAATAAAAATTTTCAGTAAATAAAAAAAATAAACTTAAAATTAATGATATCACCACCCTCACACGTATGAAAACATAGCGCAAAAATAAATTTAGGTGAAGTGGTGAAATCTCACCTCTTTTTTCACCTCTTTTTTCACCTCATGAATTCATTGCTTTATAACTCTCTTCCTTGGTTTCTTTTTAGTTGCTTTCTTCACGTCTGTCTCCAACTTGACTGTCTTTCTTCTTCGTCCGTAATGATACCAGTTACTTCCACCAGTCAATGGGTCAAATGGTCTTTCGTAAGGGTTTCCATACATTCCATAGGGACCATACGGAAGAACTGCTGGTGGAGGAAGAGTTCCATCGACTCTATTTAAATGCATTGTTTCACCTTTCATCTGGTCATTAAAGTCTTTTGCGTGTTTTGAAAACTCATCGTCCTTTCCTAAAGCATTTTCCGACTCAGTCGCAACCAAATTGGATGCTTTATTTATGAGCCCTATTTTATTTAATCTTAACTTCTTGCAACCCAGCCTCCAATCTTCCTTTATTTGCATCTAATGTCTTCGAAACCCTTCCTCCACTCATTTTATTTACTGCGTCATAAGCTCCAAGTGCTTTTGCTCCAAATGCTAATGCTTTTGTTCCCATTGCGCCTAAAGCTGCCCAAGCTACCATTTACACCATATTAAAATCATCTCTCTTCAATATTATCTCATAAAAGTTCTCGTTACTGGAGAAAGTCAATGAAACATAAACATTCTCACGGGCTTCGCCCTCACCGCTTTGCGGTCTATCTAACTTCTTTCTTATCTCATCTATTCGCTTCAAAATGTCTGAACAATTGCTAACATCTTCTACAACAGTTATTTCATCATGAATGACCTTCAAGAACAAGCTCATTTAATATGCTATTAAAATCATCTCAATAATGAGTCCATCCTTTCCATCTTTAGGTAGCACAACATCTTTCATTGAAGAAGGTTCGACAAGTCTTATGTTAAACTTACTGACAAAGTTTGTTATACTATAATGCTTCGGTGGCGAATACATGTAGTTTGAAAGACATAATATAGATTCTTCAGCAAATTCACTTATACTGGATTTTATAACAATGTTCTCACGAGACCAAATACCACCAATTGACAATCTTGTAAGCAATCCTGCTGAACCTTCTACTGTAAACATCGATGGTAACATTCCACGAAGGTCATCTATTGACATCGTTGAGTCACTGAATTTAAATATTTTCTTAAAGCAATCGTCATTATCTAACCATGCAATAGCTTTGAAGTTTTCATTCGAATATACATCTGCTTCATTAAATGTAAAACCTGACTTCTTTGCAGAGATGACTTTAAAATCTATTGAGTTTGTTTCAAAATTATATGCTATGGTAACTTCTGAAGGTAATGGATGCCCTTCCGCAGTAAGTTGTTCTCTCACTACCGTTTGAAGCTTTGTGTTAAAAACTTTCATGTCATCTCCTGTGTCTAGGTTCACATACACAGCAATGGGAAAACTATCTTGCTTCTTTGTTTCATCATTATACCTCAAAACATTAAAGTTCTTCAATAATATTGTCCTTCCTGCTGGAATACTTCGAACCTGTCTGATTTCAATAGCTTTCTCACCTCCTACATACTCTACCCAGTGTCTTGGATATTCATAAGTATACTGACTTTCTTGAATTTTGGTTGGTTTCATCATAACGTGTTCATAGTATATCTTTATACTCTTGTCAGTTAGACTCGGTGCTATGTTCTGAATATTTCTGACTTGCATTTTTAATGGAGATAAAATGAAGCATTTAATACATGACGTAGATGAAGACATGAATGAAACTACAGACAAACTTAACTCTTCTCTCATTCTTCCTTTCAGCAAAGATTATGAATTCTGTTCAAATGGTGTGTATTTCTATTGTGGAAAGATGGGTTCAGGTAAGACATTTAACCTCATTCGTCATATACTCATAACAGAGCGTTTAGGTCAAGATTCATATTATGACCAAATCATTATATCAGCAACTTCAGACTCTATGGACTCAACAGCGAAAACATTTATGTCAAAAGTTCAAGCATCTGTCGTTAAAGTTCCAGATAGCGAACTCATTGAATTTCTTCAACGTTACGTTCGACGTAAGAGGAAATATTATGCCATCGTTGAATTTATACAGTCAGGAATGCAAAAGACTTCAGAAGAGATGGAAAGAATTATTGACAAACACCACTTACGTCAATACTCAGGAGTTTACGATATGAAACGACTTACAAACTACATTCTGTCAAAACTTTCAAAATACCCCTTCAAAAAGTATCCTTCAAATACTCTGCTCGTTTGCGACGACTTCGCCGGAAAAGGTTTAGTGTCAAAGCCTGACTCACCATTAGCTAACATCATTACTAAAGTCAGACATTACCACTTAACTGTAGCAATACTTATGCAAACATGGCGTTTTCTTGCTTTAAACATAAAACGTCTCATAACTGACTTCGTTATCTTTCAAGGTTTCTCACGTTATGATATTGAACTCATTTGGAAACAGTCAGGTATAACATTACCTTTTGAAGAAATTTGGGAAGCATATAAGTCTCTCATCTCTCCTCGTTCATACCTTGAGATTCATATCATGACTAATACCATTAAAGTCAAAAATATTCCATGGGAACGACCAACATTGTTTTAAAGTTTAACCTTCAATTGACTGATGGTAAACAAATTCCATGCATCTCTGTCGCCATTTCTGTTAATATTTTTGCTGTCATTCATATCATCCACTTCTCCATCCGTTAGCTTTTGAGGATATGCGTTAGAATAGCTGTTCTTAAATGAAGGCTTTTCACCTTTGAGAGCATAAACTCTATAACTTTCTGCATACTTTATGTTTGAACCTCCTGAGCCATCATTGACATAAATTTTTATAGGCTTCCACCCTTTGTTCATGTTCCTGCTTCTTCCCTTAGCTCTTTTGTTCAGTAGTTCTACATCTTTATACACAGCACCTGTCTCAGTGAATTCAACAATATTTTCATTCGTTAGCTTTACATTCAAACCCTTGTCGAGTATATTGTTCATTTCATACATATAAAAGGTTTTTATTCTATATGAAATGAGAAGCAAATCCATCTTAGCTGGTGCCGTTAATGTTCCAATTGAACCAACATCAAATGTTGACTCACGAACGACAAACAATATTGTCATAAAGAACTATAGTTCAGAGTGTTTGAAAGAAAAAGAACCAGAACTGAAATCCGTGAATTTAAACTCAGCTTCAAACGCTAACGCTACATCAGATGTTAAGTTAGAGTATCCACCACTGGACCAAATTCTTTCAAGAGAAGCCAACGACAACCCTTACACAAATGTTCAAACAAATCCTTCAGATAACGTAGACCATTACCTTCTTCAGTTATACCAAACAATTTTACTCAAAGACGATAAGAAGCTTTTGACAAATCTTATAAGCAAGAACCAAATAATTCTAACAAAGGAGGACCTTGAAAATGTTATATCACGAATAACAGGGAAACAATGTGTCATTGACTATCTCGACCCTGAAATCGAATGCTGTGGTCAAACGCCACCATTCATGAAAATAGGTAACATCCGCATCATTGAAACACCAGGAACTACAGGAGTTGAGTTTAAGTATAAATATTCGAACGAGTATACAAAACTTTCAACAGAATATAAGCTTTGTTTGAAATATGTTTTAGTAAATTAAAGCAATTTGTAATATCTATCCAAAACTTCTTCAACAGTATCGAACTCATCTTCATAATGCAAACCTAATCTTATTGACTTGGTGCAGTTTTCACTAACACAATATAGCGCTTTGCGCTCGGCGCCTTTGACGCCTTTTTCTGTTCTCTTGACTGACATAACTAACTCATTTGTTTCATCAAACAGCAATAACCAAAGTTCATGACCTAATACATAACATTCATACTTTATATTTTTAGCTCTGAGTTCTCTTGTAAGCTGTTGCATTTAATATTTTCTAAAAAGTCAACTTCAACAGTCATTCGCACTGGTGCCTTCAGTTCTACAGGCTCTCCTTGAAAGTCAACAAGTCTGAATTGCATGTCTTTCAAATTATGAGGACTAATGCGAACCCATTTACCTAAATGAGTTACTATGACAGGAACGTTTGGAATGAACATTGAATTGACTGCATAACAGAAGGATTTATATTCTACTGAACCTTTACTATTAACTCCTGAAATACCTGTGACATTAGCTATTTTTGACTCAACGTATAAACAATTACCATAACATACGTATGGAACAGATTTCATCTCAATCGTTTTGTCAACACTTTTCAAAGGACATGTCATATGGTATGCTCCCAGAAGCAATTGAACTCTATGACTCATTCGTGTTATCTTAAACTCCTTCGCATAACTGAACTTCAAAACTCCTGCAATAAGTTTAACATTCATTAAGTTTTCTTCGTTCTCCTTGTTTATTGTAGTATTTATGAGCGCATTTAACACTCCAGCTAATGTTTCCATCTTATATTCTACATTATTGTGAAATCTTATTTCGTGCTTCTTTCCATCTATTTCAAGCTCCATGAAATCTGTTTCATCTGTTATAACGAATGAAGCGATAGTATTGAAGTCAACAACTCTGAAAGCAAGCGCTTCATTCTGAAGACCTAAGTTTGTTTGTAGCTTTACTGTCCCGTATTCGTTTGGGTCTGTACTTTGCAAATAGAACAACATTTTATTCTCATTAAAATATGAGTATTGCTGCATATGCGTATGAAGCTGACAGAGCTAAACGTTTATATTTTGGTCAATACTCTCTCACACTTACTGACAAATATATTGTTATTTCTGATGGAAATACCGAGAAATACATAACATGGAAGGACTATGAAAAGTTTGACCCTATTTTAACTCCATGCACTATGCCATTCATTGTAAATGGTGAAGTTGTCATGAAGAACGACACAACTGTTTATAGGTCTGTATATGAAGCGTTAGAATATATGTTGAATTATAATCCCGAAAGATTTGACCCAAGCACTACGTCATGTACAATGCCTTTTATTAAGGATGGTGAAATCGTAAGAGTTCCGAATTCAACGGTTTACACAGCTGTTCAAAACAGTTTACAAAACATTTTAGCGAATATCTTTAATTCAGAAACTACAGAAATAAAATTACCATATATAACAGATGCTAAAGAAATTAAATCAAAAACGACAACATTATTTACGTCACTTAATGATTTAATGACTTATATCATTAATATTCCTGCACCAACTACAGCATTTGATCCAAACTCGACGGTTTGCAGTGTACCTTTCATAAAGTCGCAAACGGACTCTTTGAGTCCTGAAGGTCTTTCAGACCGAAGCGACCAGGGCGAAGCCCATGACAGTTCATTAATTGTTTTAAGGGATTCAACAGTTAATGAATCATTAAAGGCGTCATTAATGAAAATCATTGATTTTAATTCATTCACGAATACATATAATTCATTCATTAATGTTTCATATGCTTCTAAAGAAGGTGAGCCAAAAACTATCGATAAAGCGGTGTATGAAATAAAAGCATCAACGACGAAATTGAATTCGTTAACTTTTGACGGTGATAGTTTCGTTAATGACATAACATCGGGGAAAACAATTTTAACGAAAGAATATTTAAAATCTCATGTTAGTGAGTTCGTTGAAATTGAAAAAGAAGGTGGAATTAAGTTCGATCCACTGAATTTCATTTTCAGCTTAGCGAATGCGGGTGTTAGTTTCGCTGAATGGACAACTATACAGAGTGAAATAAATGCAATATGGACGTTTTTGGGGTCAAAAGCGGGAATGGGTGAGCTTGTAAATGCTGCAAGAACATTAGGTGAAACAGGAAATTTTGTAGATGGTTTTAAAAGACTTGTTTCAAATGTTTTAACAAACACAAAGAAATTATTTAGATATACCATACATAACGGACGGATTTTCGAACAGGTAGCAACAAACCCTCCGGTTATGGCTGCGTTGATGATGGTTAGAGATATAAAACCACGTAACGACGGGAACGAAGAACATGAACAACAGAGCCCAACGGGCTCAGAGCCACATAGTGGCGAGGATACTGGTCGGGTTATTCAAGACATTAAAAACGTGTATCCTGAAGTTATTGATTTATTTAGAGGAGTTAATGATTCAATTTCAAAACATTCTATAACCCTCGATGAAGAGAATAAATTAACAGATTATATATTCGTCATTATTGCAGAATTAATGAAGAGAATAAATGAAAAAGGAATTGGTGATATCATTAATGTCAGCGATGTAATGATGAAAAGAAATTTTGACTCATTATTTACAAAACCGAAAACAGAATATAGTCTTTATGACGTAATTACCGAATTAATGAAAAAGATTAATGATAATAAGAGTTCTGGCGGAAGAGTTGAATTAGAAGTGAATGATGTTAATGAGAAATTAGCCGAAAAAGCAGATAAAAACCACGTTCATTATATAACTTCAGACGAACAGATTATAACGGACTACCATGGATATTTAACACGAAGTGATGAAGCGAAGACAAAAAATGTTAATGAAAGAAGATATAAATACATTCGTGCTAAAGGTTATGACATAAGCTGTACTGTACAGTATGACACAGGTAAAGCACCAGAAGCATTTAGTTATAACGATGAAATTTATGCCTCTACTTTCTCTGTTAATGGTGTATTAGTTGAACCAAGATTTATGTTAAGAGTTAAGGCAAAAATAACGTTTGAAGATGCTATTAAAAGTAAAGCTGACAAAGTTGAACTTGACGCAACGAACAAAGTTTTGAAATCTCATAAACACAACATCTCCGATATAAATGAACTTCAAACTTCTTTAGACAGTAAAGCTGACAAGAACCATACACATAAATCCTTCACTACTGTTAGAGCAGACGACATAATATTGAACTTTGACCTTGGTTCAAGTGCACCATTAGAAAATCCAAGTACAAGCGTAAAAGATACTCTTAACAGTTTAGATAACAGTTGCAGGAACATTGAAAGTCATGCCAGAAACTTTGAAGCACATGAACTACCAGCAATGTTAGATAAGAAAGCAGACAAGAACCATACACATAAATCCTTCACAACTGTTGCTATAGAAAGTATTGAAGGAACGGTTGAAGAAACTGGTGGCGGAGGGCATGCATTATATTGTAAACCTCCTAACTTTCCACAAGGTTTAACATCGGATGACGACATAACGACGATGAGAAACATTAGATGTAAAGATGTTTATGTCATGAAGGATGAACATAATATTAAATTCACTGCTCAAGATTTATATGACAAGAAAGCAGACAAGAACCATACACATAAATCCTTCACTACTGTTAGAGCAGACGACATAATATTGAACTTTGACCTTGGTTCAAGTGCACCTTTAGAGAATCCGAGTACAAGCGTAAAAGATACTCTTAACAATTTAGATAAGAGTTGCAGGAATACCGAAGATCATGCCAGAAACTTTGAAGCATATGAACTACCAGCAATGTTAGACAAGAAAGCAGATAAAACTTATGTGGATGCAGAACTAACAAAGAAATTTTCGAAACCAGATACAATGACATTTACAACAGAAATTATAAATGGTGAACCAGCAACTCCATTTGAATTTGTTAGAGGTCTTCAACCAGATACTTTTGAATTTTTCTTGGATAATTCTATTGAACTAACATTACATTATAAAAGTGGAACAAATGCAACATTTCATCCGGGAGATACATTCCAAATGGTATTTAATGACATAAGTTCTTTAGAATATGTTTATAGAGTTATGAGCATATATGATTTAATATATCCTATAGGAGCTGTTTATACGTCTATGAATCCAATAAATCCAAACACTTTATTTGGTGGTAGATGGTATGAAATAGTTGACAGTTTTCCATTCTACACTAATACGCAGTCAATGAAGATGGGAGGTTCAAAGAAAATAGGTATTGAAAACCTTCCTTCACATATGCATAGGTTCAGTGGAAGAACATCTGTGGAAGGAAACCATTCACATTCAATAACAAAAAGAGGTTATACAAATCTTGCAGCGGGTTCGGATAGACAGGGAATGCATAGATATGATATCACAACTGACCCCAAAGATGTTAGCACAGGTATTTTCTGTGGAACTGCAGGAAATCATACACATGTTGTAGCTGGTATTACAGACCCAGCAGGTAATGGAAAAGATTATATGCCTCCTTATATAACAATGCACGCTTGGATACGAGTTGGTTAAAATCTTTAACTTTACATAAATGAGCTTGAAAGAAGTATTCGAACAACATCCATGGAGGTCATTTAAGAAGTTCAATGAAGCTGCAAAGAGTTCGGGATTTACTAACAGAGCTGAAGTGAAAAGGTTCTTTGACAAAAATGTTGTACATCAAACAAAAATAAATCCTTACGACTACTTTTTACCAATTTACTCCAACACTCCTGACGCATACCAATTTGACACTCTCATTCAAAGCAGAAAAGGAGGACATAAACCATTCCTCATCTTCATAAATGTTAACACTCGTAAAGCATATGCGTATATAATGAGAAATAAAGGAACTCATGAAGTGTTAAGAGTTTTACAAAAGTTTGTAGCAGAACATAGCCCAAGTATTTTAACATCAGACCAAGACGGTGCATACCTCAGCAACGAAATCACAGAATTTCTCATTAAGCATAACATAACTCACTACACTACTGAAGACCATAACCATAACATACTCGGTATCATTAACCGCTTCATAAGGACTCTCAGAGATTTAAATCAAGAGCGAGACTTTACCGAAGAAACAATGAAACATTTTCTCGAAGTATATAATTCCTCAACACATTCTACAACAGGACATACACCAAATTCAATGACACAACAACAAGAAGAAAAGTATATACAAAAGAAACGAAGCCAAACACAAAATATCAGAAATTCAACACAATTTACTCTCATTCCTGGTACAAAAGTTCGTGTAGTTCTTGACGACAAACCATTGACAAAGAAACGTTTAAGGTTAAGTCGAAATTATTATATCGTAGACTCTACGCAAGGTAATGGATATCTTATAAAAGCTGCTGACGACTCCATAGCATTTTACCCTCGACATAAATTAGTCGAAAGTAGTAATGGCAAACTTGCTGAAACCATTGACGAAGCAAAGCGAGGAGTGGTTATTGAAATACTTGACTATAACACAAACGATGACACTTATAAAGTAAGATATGAAGGAGGCGTTGAAGATGTTATACCATCTAAGAACTTGAGAGAATCTAAACCAACTCATCTGGGACCATTAGAGCGGGAGTACTGGAAAGATAAAAACATGCCAGAAAGAATAAGAAAATTCTTCTAAACTTTTTCGTTGGATGTAAATCAGACAAAAATATAATTTAGGTGAAGAGGTGAGATTTCACCTGTTTTCTCACCTCTTTTTTCACCTCTTGAACTTTTTATAACATTCGGTCATAACTTCATCAATTTCATTTAAATCACGATTTAAAAACTCATTGACTTCATCTTCAACCGTGTCATCTTGTAATAAGAATATTTTCTTTAGTTTCATGTCAACATCCCGAACAGCACAAAGGATAAAATCATATTCATTTCTTCCGTTAAACATACTTTTTCTTTCTCGTTCATCGTTAAATAAATTATTGAAAATATAAACAGCGGTGTAAAAGTTATGTACTGTGTTAAATGTTGAAGCTTCACCTATTTTAGATTTTAGGATTCTTTTAGTAAGTAAATTGTTATCGTTCTTTCTCTTTTCCTTATCGTTCATGTCGAATCTGTCGAACCACATATCCTGTATTTCATCGAATTTACGAACTATAGAATCCGTCATTTCCCTGGTTAATGAGGGGTAATCATTATTAATTTTTTCATATAATTTGTCCATATGATTTTCATCGACGTTTCCGGAAAGCATTTAATTAAAGCAAAAATATATTATAGGTGAAGAGGTGAGATGTCACCCGTTTTCTCACCTGTTTTCTCACCCCAGTTTTTCACAAGCGTTTTACATGAATTGTACGATGTATATTTGAAATCCTAAACAATTTCGTAGCTTCTATTTCTTCTGTCAGTATGTCAAAAGTTTTAACAATGCCGAAAGTTTCTTTATATTTCTTCTTGACGTCAGATAGAAGGAAATCGTCAGCAGTTGGATAGTTTTTGTTCAGAAATGCTAACATGTCCATTTTATTTTCTGCTGGCTTTTCTGCTTCTTTCTTTAAGTCTGCATAGTCGTTTCGCATTCTTTCTATCTCTTTGACGGAGTAGTTATATTTCCTAATTGCTGCTTTACATTTAGAACATTGCGGATTCATTTTTGCGTTATATTCTGAAACCTTACCTGCTAAAACAACTAAGGCGTCAATGGTTTTCTTTAACTCAAAAGCAGTTGGTCTTATCTGTTCGTTCCATATTTTACCTCTTCTATCTTTATCTCTTATCTGCCATACACATTCAGCAACTAACGAAACAAAGTTATCGTAGGTCTTAAACTCCCCGGATTTATATATGTCAGAAACATTCTTATATACCATGTCGCAATCTTTGTCCATAACCTTATGGTTGCAATGAAATCCTAGAAACTCATAGTTTACCTTTCGAATGAACTTCTTTATTTCTACTGAGTCAGTTGGTTTCACTTCTATTTCATCGAATTCAGGAATAGTTAGTTTTTGATGCTGAATTTCAGGTAGTTTAGGTAAATGGTCAATAATGTCCTGCATTTCATAAAGATACTGTTCATTTGTTTCATCTTTCGCACTACAGTCTAAATTACTTGTTAAAAGTTCTTGCTTTATCTTCTGGATTTTTGTTTCGAAAGTATATGAAGAAGGAATGAAGCTTTTCATCTCTACT